GCATCGTCGTCTAGGACATCCATCTTCCCGTTATTTATCTTTGTTACCTTTTATTTCCAATGCAAATAATTTGGCTCCTTGTGACGTTTGTTGTAAAGCCAAACAACCACGAAGTCCTTTTCCTATTAATAATAAACGTTGTTTACATCCTTTTGATTTACTTCACTGTGATATATGGGGGCCATATCATATGGCATCTACAACTGGTGCCCGCTATTTTTTAACTGTAGTCGATGATTTTAGTAGACATGTTTGGATTTTTTTGATGCGCAATAAAACTGAAACTTCCACATGTTTACTTCGGTTTCTCCACTTGGTTCGCACCCAATATGATGCATCTGTTAAGCGAATTCAGAGTGATAATGGGACTGAATTTTTGTCATCTGTAGTCCAAGAGGCTCTCTCATCCTACGGTATTCATCATCAATTATCATGCACTTACACCCCACAGCAAAATGGACGCGTTGAACGTCGTCATCGTCACATCCTCAACGTGGCTCGTGCTTTGCGTTTTGATGGTCACTTACCTATATCTCTTTGGGGAGAATGCATCTTGACCGCTGCTCACCTCATCAACAGGACACCGACTCCACTCCTTGGTGGTCAGTGTCCCTATGAAGTTTTGCATGGCACTCCACCAAAGTATGATCACTTACGGGTCTTTGGGAGTTTATGTTACACTACTGTTTTACCCAAACCACATGACAAGTTCGCTCCTCGCTCCCGTAAGTGTGTGTTTGTTGGCTACCCTTTCAACAAAAAAGGATGGAAGGTCATGGATATCTCCACTCATGAAATATTTGTTTCTCGTGATGTTTTATTTCATGAAACTATTTTTCCATTGGCTGCAACTTCATCTGCACCTTCTGTCCATGTACCGTCACCACAAGCTGTCTTCACCGATTATGATGTGGCACCTGTTACTGCTATTGATACTCCCACAGCGGAGCTTGATGACAGGGGGAGTTCGTCCTCCCCAGTTCCGGGTTCTATTACTTCATCCACGGATGTCCCTGGTTCACCGGTTCCGTTGACAGAACCCAACACTGCATCTGTGGCAGATATTCGTGAACAGCGTGCCAGACGTCCCCCATCTCATTTAAAGGATTATGTATGCAACACAATGACTACACCCTTTCCTCGTCTCTCCACTTCTCCAATCGACTCAGGTATTCAATATTCCATTGATCATTATGTTTCTAATGCATTATTTTCTTCGCACCATCAGATTTTTCTTGCCGCCGTGGATAGTAACCTGGAACCCAAATCATTTAAAGAGGCTATGCAATATCCTCATTGGCAGAAAGCCATGCAAGCCGAAATTGATGCATTGGAAGCCAATCATACTTGGCAAATTCAACCTCTCCCTTCTGGTAAGAAAGCTATTCCATGTAAGTGGGTGTACCGCATCAAGTACAATTCTGATGGAACCATTGAACGCTATAAAGCGCGTCTGGTTATTGCTGGGAACAATCAGATCGAAGGAGAAGATTACACTGAGACTTTTGCACCGGTGGCTAAAATGACAAGTGTGCGTACATTTTTATCTGTAGCTGTAGCTCGAAAATGGAGCATTTTTCAGCTGGATGTTCAAAATGCCTTTCTCCATGGCGATTTGGATGAAGAAGTCTTTATGCGTTTTCCTCCCGGTTTCTCCCAAACCAAGTCTGGTCACGCCTGTAAGCTTCAACGTTCACTTTATGGTCTCAAGCAATCCCCACGAAATTGGTTTGCTAAGCTTCGTAGTTCTCTCCTCAGTTTCGGCTTTGTTCAGTCTCGTGCTGATTATACGTTGTTCACTTACTCGACTGGTTCCCATTATGTTGCTATACTTGTCTATGTAGATGATATTTTGTTGGCAGGTAGTGATCCTTCTCTCTGTGACCGTGTCAAAGCTCATTTACAAACCTGGTTTAAAATCAAAGATCTTGGTCCCCTCAAGTATTTTCTTGGCATTGAATTTGCTCGAAGCAAGACCGGTCTGTTTCTTACTCAACGCAAATTTGCTTTGGATATTCTTAAGGAATGTGGACTTCAAAGTTGTAAACCGGTTGCTTATCCTATGGATCCCAATCACAAGCTTGCTCTTGCTGAAGGACCTCCGTTTGATGATCCTAAACGTTATAGACGTATTGTTGGCCGTCTTGTATATCTCACGATTACACGACCAGAACTTAGTTATGCAGTTCACACACTTTCTCAGTTTTTGCAGCATCCTATGCAGATACATTACGATGCGGCTATTCGTGTTCTTCGGTACATTAAGTCCAATCCTGGCCAAGGACTCCTTCTTCGATCTGACAGTGATCTTCTTCTTCGTGCCTATTGTGATTCGGATTGGGCTAGTTGTCCCTTGACTCGAAAATCAGTCACTGGTTATTTTGTTACTCTTGGACATTCTCCTATTTCTTGGAAAACCAAGAAGCAAAACACAATATCCCGCTCCTCTGCTGAAGCTGAATACCGTGCCATGGCAGCTGCGACTTCTGAGCTTATTTGGTTAAAGTCTTTTCTCAGCTCTCTTGATATTCCTCATGCAGCCCCTATGCAACTGTTTTGTGACAGTCAGTCTGCTATTCATATTGCTTCTAATCCAGTGTTCCATGAGCGTACCAAGCATATCGAGTTAGATTGCCATTTTGTTCGGGACTATCTTCTCAGCAAGACTATTTCTACTCAACATATCCCCACTAGTTCTCAACCCGCAGATATTATGACCAAAGCACTTGGATCCAAACAATTCGATTTTTTGACTTCCAAGTTGGGCATCTCCTCCCTCCATGCTCCACCTTGAGGGGGAGTATTAGAGTAGCATTAATTTGTTAGGATCCTGATTGTAACTATCACGGTTTGTTACCTTGTATATTAAAATAGATTAGCTTGATTTATGCTTTCTGTTCCTTAGTTTTAGCTGATTTCCTGATGTAAATAGATTAGCTTGATTTATGCTTTCTGTTCCTTAAGTTTAGCTGATTTCCTGATGTAAATAGATTAGCTTGATTTATGCTTTCTGTTCCTTAAGTTTAGCTGATTTCCTGATGTAACCAATTGTAAATCTTGGTCTATATAATAGACCCAATTTAATATATCATCTAGCTGCGAATGACAGCAACTTCTGTTATATTGAAAGCTGCTTTTAGAACTTTGATTCACTCTAAACTTTGTATTTTAAATGATCCAAAAGTTAAAATTGATTGCTAAGTTCTAATTTTAATTTGGTGCGAATCCAGTGGCCAAACAAATCGCCCAAGTGTTATAAATATATAATTATATTGATTTTGCGTAAATCTAATTGGCTTCGTAATGTTGTAAAAGGACCGCAGCATTCAATTCTCGGCGCAGTGTTATCTTCAAGAGACTATAATGTCTTTCTTTCTTTCTTTCTTCTTCTTCTTGTTTTTTTTTTTTTTTTTTTTAAAAAGTTTTGAAAGTCATGGGCATACAAATGACCAGAATAAACTAACTAGTTGAACTAAAACAAGTTCGAAAGCCTTTTGCTGTAGAAGAATTGAACTAAAGAGCATACATATAGTATACTCCAACTATAATGGAACATCAAATTATTATAATACTGCAGAATAAATTACCTAACAGTTATGCATAAATATTTGGGTAAATATGATATAAATTAAATATTTAAGTCTAAAAGGCCATTAACAATGGAGATTTAAGAGAAAGAACTTACATATTAATGGTGCTCCATACCATTTCAGTTCATATATTTTTCTTCATTTATTTCAACTATTTGTTTTATTGACCTGACCATTTTATGTTTTAAACATTAATCTTAAAATTGAATGACGACATAAATATTTGGAGAGGATTTTGATATCAATTAACAGAGCTTTTTCCAATATTCTCGAAGTTATCAACATTAGATCTTATCAAGAAGTGTGTTGGATTGGTCTAATTCATAACAAAAAATAAATTGTTATATAAAACTAAATATGAACAATTTTGCATAGCCTTAAATGTTATAATGGTAAATTAGAAATTTCATTTACTTACTCACTTTTGAAAGTAAATTGTTCTTTGTAAAATTTAATTTAAAATATATTTTTTCTCTTTTGAATTTTTTTTCATTTTGTATAAATGTTTTATTGAAAAATATAACTTCTAACTCACCATTTTTAAGCCCAATATGTTAATAATTTGTTAATAACATGAAATTATTTAGCTACTTATTAATATTATTCTATATTATTATCTTTGATAAAATATCCGACAAATTATTGTTGATATTGTTATGTTGACTATTAACAGTATTTGACCATTTGGTTCGTGCACAGAAGAAAAACTTCTGGTTTGTGGTTATGAGGCATATGCCGATGTACCTTACGAACCAACCTACACATCTTTTTTGTGAGACTGTTGGACTAAAGAAACGTGGTCCTTCATCAAATACGGCTTCTAAGTTCCACTAGCAAGAGTTCAAAGTTCACACATATGTATTAATCTAAATAAAGATAGGAAAAAAAAAATGCGGCAAATCCACAACATATAAGAAAGACTGGTAGAGTCCAAGATTGAATTGGATGGCATACGCTGCACATGAAATCTACTTCACTCCACACCCTTAAATCCCTCATCTTCAAAGAACCACCATCGTGATGCCACCTGGCATGATAAATATCCAAGCTGTGTTAAGTGTTAACCACTCAGCATTCTTCCATGTTGGTTTTCATATCGCGTATGCCATCGCCTCATCAATTCCACCACTTTTTTAATCACTTAATTAATAAAGGTAAAATATATTGGTGATGTCTTTGTCCCTTACTATTTTTTTTTTTAAGAAAAAAAGAGTACATAAAAAGACAACTATACCCCTGTATTGCTGATTGATTCTAATCAAATTCCTGCTTTTCTAGCATTAAAATTACCTCCAAAATTGTCCAAAACCAGGGGTAGTCACAGAAATACAAAACAAGAACATACCTCAAGTTTAGTTTTCACCATTTCTTTTTCCTGCTAACTAACCTGCCTTTGTTTTGGTTTTAATTCCACCTCATATTTTATATGTGTTCCAAACTTCTTCTTGGAATGTCCCGTATCATAATCTTCAAACAAAAACCAACATAAACTCGTTTCTTCTCCAAAATTTATCTTTAACTTCTTTCTGTGGCTAGAGAGAGAGAAAGAGAGAGGGAGAAAGAATGGCAGCTTGTACTGTCTACTCAACACAATCTCTAAGCACAAATTGCTCCATCTCAACCCCATCAAAAACACATGTAGGTTTTCACCAAAGACAAGTATTTTTCTACACAACAAGCAAGAGAAGCAGCAAGAGAGGGAGTAACACTAGCAGCCCTTATGTGATAACATGTGCAGCGGGTGATTCACAGACAGTGGTGATTGGTCTAGCTGCTGACTCTGGGTGTGGTAAGAGTACTTTCATGAGGAGGCTCACAAGTGTGTTTGGAGGAGCAGCAGAACCACCAAAGGGTGGAAACCCAGATTCAAACACTCTCATCAGTGACACAACCACTGTGATATGTTTGGATGATTACCATTCATTGGATAGAACTGGTAGAAAAGAGAAGGGAGTCACTGCACTTGATCCGAGAGCCAACAATTTTGATCTCATGTATGAACAAGTTAAAGCTATTAAAGATGGAATTGCTGTTCAAAAACCCATTTACAACCATGTCACTGGTCTTTTGGATCCTCCAGAGCTTATTAAACCTCCCAAAATCTTAGTCATTGAAGGTTTGCACCCAATGTAAGTATCTTTCTTTCTCTCTATATCTCTCTCTCTCCTTGAACTAGTTCACAAAACTAACGTAACATTCATCATTAACAATTCGTGTTTTACTAGTATTAAATCGAAACTTAATTAGTTAATGTTTTGTGTAGTGGATCTTAGGAGGCAGGTGATGGGGATGTTTGTTTGAAATTCTCTTTATTTTTTCATTCAAGGGGTTGTGAAGAATAGGATTAAATGTGACACGGGTCGTTAAGCTGATACCTTATCCATCTTTGATTGATTGTATGGCTGAAAAATATGGTAGCTACTTTCCTACCTTCCCATGTTTGGTGGGCCAACATGCATACTTTTTTTTTTATTTTTTTTGGTGAAAACATGCATACTTTTCATCATCACTCTATAGTAACACAGATATTTTAACTCATGGGGCATAAAATCTTCCTAGCTTACACGTTTTCATAGTTATGGAACTTTAGGATAATAAAATATTTGGATTTTACATTGAAGGGGAAAAATAGTTTGGGTAACTAAACCTTTTATAGATAAATAGATGATTAATAAGTAATGATAACCTACTCATTCTTAGATTAATCTCTTCTTTTTTTAATATTGCTCTCTTTTAACTTATGTAATGTGTTGGGCATAATTCATAGTATTATATACAATTTTTATTTTATTTTTGGTGCGCGCTGATCATTTTGGGTTACTTTCCAATATGGATCTAATCTTCAAGATTCTGTACCCAAATTCAGGTCTATTTCTATTAACCTTTTTAATTAATATTTTTAACATAATTAAGTAAAATGAAATAATATCAAATTGATCCAAACAATATATAAGTTCTGGTACACTATTACCGGACAAAAAAAATAAAAAAATCTTATGCCTTGTGGGCTTAATTGTTTTGCTTCTTATTAAGCTTATTCGATTGTGAGTTTGAGACTCTTCCTTGCATGCAGGTTTGACCCTCGGGTCAGAGAACTCTTGGACTTTAGCATCTACTTAGACATTAGCAATGAGGTGAAATTCGCTTGGAAAATTCAGGTAAAGACAAAGCCCGATCAATAAGAGTTCAGAAACTTTGTACACTTCAAAATGTTTCCTATTATTCTCCCTTGCTATGACCTTATGATTATTCCACAAATATTTCAGAGAGACATGGCAGAACGTGGACATAGTCTTGAAAGCATCAAGGCTAGCATTGAAGCAAGGAAGCCTGATTTTGAAGCTTTTATCGGTAATCAATTAAGATTCCAATTCATGGAAAAAAACTCATCTCAAATAATACTGTTTTTAAACTCAATTGTGTCAGTGGTTAACTTGTTATGCATGTTCACAGATCCTCAAAAGCAATATGCAGATGCAGTGATAGAAGTGTTGCCAACACAACTCATTCCAGATGATAATGAGGGGAAGATTTTAAGAGTCAGGTTGATACAGAAAGAGGGGGTTAAATACTTTAGCCCAGTTTACTTGTTTGATGATGGCTCTACCATTTCATGGATACCATGTGGAAGGAAGCTTACATGCTCTTATCCTGGCATCAAATTCTTCTATGGACCAGAGAGTTACTTTGGAAATGAGGTACCAAATAGTCTACCCTCCCAAGCTTCTATCTCTTCTTTGTTTTCAATATATTTTTTTTTTTTCCTTTTATTAAAAACACCCTTTTGATACACTACACAATTCAGGTTAATTTATCTATGTTTATAAGTTAATTAGCCGTATCTTGTTCACAGAATCACAAAACATTAAAGTATTGGTATTGCAAAGGAAGTTAGGTGTTTAATTATTAACCTACCCTATCAGTTGACAAAATGGTAAGAGAATGATTTCTAAGTCTAGTTAATTATTAAATATACGATAAGTTGGTCAAAATTGTCATATAATTAAATGCTTAATTAACTTTCTAGTTTGAAACTAATTCGTTTAGATACTATTAACTAACAGAACTGAAATACATCATAGATTATGGCAAGTTCAAAATAAAGAAAAACATATAGCGGGTTCAAGTTACAAGCTTTGCAACACACTACTTGAGATGTTGTATATTGAGGTATTCATATATTAGTTTTTCTCTCATTTTATCCAATCATTTAACTCTTGTGTCCATTTTTTTGGCTTTGTTTTTTATTTGTGTGCAATAGGTGTCAGTTGTAGAAATGGATGGGCAATTTGACAGATTAGATGAACTAATATACGTTGAGAGCCACCTAAGCAACCTCTCTACAAAGTTCTATGGAGAGGTTACTCAACAAATGTTGAAGCATGCTGATTTCCCAGGTAGCAACAATGGAACAGGTCTATTCCAAACCATAGTTGGTTTGAAGATAAGAGATTTATATGAACAGATAGTAGCAAGCAGGGCTGGGAGTCCAGTAGGAGCAGCAAAAGCTTAGGAATCTGCCATATATATAAATATTGGACATGGCAGCCATATTGAATCTCCAAAATCATTTTCTTCTTTTGTGTTTTCCACTATTCCTGTCTTTCATGTTATTTTGTCAAATTGTTAGGCTGTTGTTCATGATGATGTAAACACTCTGTATGTACTTATTCGATCTTTTGTAACTCATAATTCAGAGAAGAAAGAGCAGGGCTGAGATTCAGTTCTCTTTAAACAAGATTGGAACAATTTGGCATCGCCTTCTCTAGTGATATGCATAGTCCGTGCTAGCATTAAATATACTAACCATGATGAATATGTATATTTTTTCTAATTAATTTTTTCTATGTGGGGTAAAATCAAAGGGAATGATCTTTAGTAGGTTAAATTCCTTTGTCACTCACCAGAAATAACTATTAATACATGGAAAAATGTTTCTGTTCTAGAGTAGTATATTATTTAGACCCAAGTTCAAAATGTGGAATTCATATGCCACATCGATTAAGAATGAATTAGGTGAATATGATATAAGAGTAAAATGATACATACGTCTACTATCTTAGGCCATACCTTGCTCATCTAGTCCATAAATAATGATTTCCCTCCGCTGGCCCAACACAAAAAAGTTTCATTGTTCATTTGCAGGTCTCATGAGTTTCCACCTTCCATTGAGTAAAGAAAAACAATGGAATGGTAGGCCAATGATCACAGATAAAGAAAAAGACCCTCAACCCTAACACTTTAAGATTTATTTTGGGATCAAGCATTAATATAAAATCTATTATAATTTTTTATTTTTTGGGGTGAGATCAGGAGGTCACGCTCTTTTTCTAAGCTTACTTCTCACTCTGGACATGTAGATAATCTTAGTCTCAAATTTTGTAAGTGGTAAACGTGCATCATAACTAGGGATGTTCACGGGCTGAGTTAGGCCAGACTTTGATATTGAAAGGTTAAGTCTGCATATAAATATGTCAGACTGACCTAGCTTGTAACTTGTTATGAGTATAATTATCGGCTTGTGGTCTGACTTACTTACAAAAAATAAAAGCATGGCTTAGCTTGTTAAAAAAAAGACAACAAAAATTTATCCAATAATATACGATCAACAACACTAATAATTGTACAAATTCATAAATTCAATGTATATCAAAATAGTATAATATAGAACAAAATCATTCAAGAGATGCTTGGAGATGGCATAAATCGAAAGGGAAAACGATGCTGAAATGCTTGAAGATGGCTTCGACGAAGAGAATGACAAAGAACGGTTGCTTGATGGCTTGAGTGGGCTGGGCATGAGATGGAAGTGAAAATTTGGTTAGTATAAAAAATATAAAATAAAAGAGAGAGTTAGTAGGTCAGCCTGACAGACTTTAAGGCCGAGCTTTTGAAAACGGAGTCTGAAGCCTTTTTATTAAATAAGCTTTTATACAAGTCTAAGTCTGAATCCAATAACAAAAACACACAAACTAGGCCTACACGAGCCGAGCTAAAGGCCTTTGCCCTTTTAACACCCCCTAATCATAAGTGTTTTGCGACAAAATGAACACTTTTCTTAAGAACAAATTAAATAATTTGTTTCTTTTTTACAAAAGTATTATTTTCTTTTACCAAAAAAGGTATTATTTTCGAAGTAGTTTATGTTTTTGTTGTTTCGAATAAAAGGAGTTTAGATCCCTTAAGCATGTCGAAAAAACAAAAAGAAAGAAAAATTAAAGGGATGTATTGAATTAGGATTTTAAAATATTTTTTTTAGATAAAAAATCTTACAAGTTTTAAAATACTATTTAGAATTAGAGGGACTTGAAAGACTTTTTTTTACGATTAAGAATTCATAAGATTGGATTTTAAAGGATTTTGATAGAATTTATAAGATTTCAAAGGACAATATGAATTTGTAAGAGTTTGAAAAACTATATAAATTTCTAGCAAACATTCAAAATTATAAGATTCATTAAAAAAATAACAAACAAATACAATGATATTAACAAAAAAGTAAAACATAATATAATTTTCTTAATAAGTAAAATTCATGAGGTTTACCAAAAAAATAAAATGCATGATAAAATTTCTTTTGGAATTTTTTACAATTGATCTTGTAGATTTTGGGGGTTTTGTTCTATGCGGTGAGAGTTTTCTAACTATATATCATATGCATGTTTTCATTGAGTATTCTAAAAAAATTTCGAATCTAAATTTCTGGGTTTTATTATATGAAAGTTTAGAAATTTTCTTAAATTATTTTCAATAGATACATTGAAACCTTAAATTGCCTTGTAGCTTTTGAAAAATAAGTTTTAGTGATTTATTGACACAAAAAATTATTTCCAATTCTTTCGTGAATGTATTGTTATGTAACATAATGTTTATATTATGAAAGTTTCAATATTTCTTTAAATTGATATTGTTTCATTGATGTAAAACAAAATTAGTTTGGGGTTTTTGTTCCCATGTAATTTTCCTATTGTTTTATGTTATTTTGAAGAGGACGAATATACTTACCACAAAAAGTTTACCATTCTTACAACTAATTTAATCATTGTTGATTTCTGCTAATCTAACGGTTATAATTTATTGAAAATTAATAAATATGACCCAATAAATATTGTTAATTCCCAATAAATTATAACTGTTAGATTGAAGGAAATTAACAGTGATTAAGTTGATAGTAAGAGTGGTAAACTTTGTTGGCGATAAATGGATCTGTTCCCTTTTATTTAATTGACCACAAAAAGTATTGATAATTAAATACATGAATTATATGGTATGTGTACCATTTATGGGGATGCATGCCCAATATGCAACCCAAAAAGAGAGACCAACCTAAACAATGAAGTCCCAAGTGTGGTGCAAAACGATAAGAGTTGGGAGGGGGGATGTGTGTGAGAAAGGCTATAATGGCTCTATGGTGTAGCGGGTAACAACTAACAACATATATGTTGAAGATGTCTCTATTAGGTGATAATGAGAGCATTTATGGAAGGTGATGATGTCTTGCTTGTATAGGAGAGTGAGCCAGGTCAACTCTCCCGAGGAAAAGCCAAAAGTGACATGTCATGTGCTTCGCAACCCTTGTTACACTAGTAATAATGGTTGAAGCAGTAGCTGTGAAATGAGGATATTTATTTGGGGTGTCTGGAAGCCTACCAAAGGAAGATAGCGACCCAATGTAAGATATTCTGGTATCTTATGTTACGAAATCTATTGCACGGGAACAGTGATACAAAGGTGACATGCAAGAGCTAATAAGATTGACGTGGGTTAATTCCTTTGAGTTGGGCTTGTCTTGTTGGGCTAGCCGGTTGGGCCATCAAGAACAGTATGCAATAAAGGACAATATGATATATGTTGAAAGTTAAAATTGAAATCATATAGTTATTTTTCACACTGGGTTAATTGCTATATCAAAAATCATATAGAGCCACTTGTCAAATTTGGCGCAATTTACAAATTAGCCTAAAAAATAAGATATCATCCAAAAAAAATAGAAGTTTGGGGAAACGTATTAAATGCATATTTAGCAAAGAAGAATTGAAAACTAACATTCAATCAATATAAATAATTTTGTGTACAGTCTAGTCATTGATAATTAGAGAAATAGATTAATGCGTGATCTGTTTTCTCTGTGTTACATGCTTCAGTGTTTGGTGTAAACTCAGTGATTTTTTTTTCTTCTATTGCAGAAGTTTTGGCCCAAAGTGGATATTTTACATTTTAATTGAAGATTTCAAATGCTAGAGCTGCATTAGTATTTAGAACTGAGAACTGCAACACCTTTCTCAATAAAATTAAGACTTGTATTTACGGAGCTCAACTATGGGAGCAAAACTTGAGTGCCGAAGCAACCTGTTGGGTACTCCTTTTTCCATTTTTGGAATTAAAAATTTCATTATACTCCTTTTTTCTATTTCTATTCCAATGTAAGTTCCCAAAAAAAATTCTCATTTTGGACAGATGTATCATACATCTGTAGCATGGAAGATTTTTTCCAACTATGGATAAGCCTCGATAAATTAATTGGTGTTTAAAAATATCCTTTTGGGTTGGGCATTTTGATGATTATATAGCGTCACAGATGAGATTATTTCAATTATTAGCTTGAATTCCTATGAGTTAGTCAGGGGCGCGTGGGGAATCGACTCAACCCATCAACATCCTTATCTCACCTCCAGCTTTTGCAAAGTATATATATATATATATATATATATATATATATATATATATATATATGGGTTTGCATTTGTAATTTAACATGACACAACAAACTTTCCTACACACAACATTTTGTGGGCCAACACTTTTTGAAGAAAAAATAAAAAGAAAAAACTACGGCACGCAAAACGAATCTCTATAACATTACGCAATCACTTTTCCTACAACATAACTCTTATAAAACTTTCATACACACACAACATTTTGTGGGGCCCACACTTTTTAAAGCAAAAAAAAAAAACTAAGGCACACAAAACGAATCTCTATAACATTACACAATTATTTTTCCTACAACATAACTCTTATAAAACCCTATATATATGGTGAAATAGGGTGAAGGGTATTGAATTGGGATTTCAAATAAATTTAATAGATTATTTTTAGAAAAAAATCCATTGGTATTCAACTAGTATTTTAAAGGATTGAGAAAAAATCGCGTGATATTCGATTAAGATTTTAAAAGATTATTTTAGAGCTTGTCCAAATCCGTTGGTATTAAATCAGGATTTTAAATAAAGGACAAATAATCTTATAGTATTCAAAAATATGATGATTTTAATGGATTTTCTATTGGTGTGAGTTTTGGGAGATTTTTTAGTGAGAAATATAAATATGATGTCTTTCTTACAATCTCACCCTAGTCCTTAAGATTTCTTGATATTTTTCTATTGTAGTGTCTTCTTCTTTCTTTGGCTTGGTCGACACGCTTGAAATCAAAATTAAAAAAAGAGAGAGTAGATTTTTGAGCGATTTTCATCATAAAATAACCCAGAAACAACAACCCAGCAAGATTTTAATTTAATCTGTCTTAAAAATAGTAGATTTTTTAACGATTTTTAAGAGTTTTTGGAAGTTTAAAATTAGTTTAAAATTATTAATCGCGATTTGTCTTTGCACAAAAAATATGTGATATCTAACGGTATAATTTATTGGAAATTAACAATATTTATTATTGGGTCATATTTATTAATTAATTATTAATTCAGAAAAAATTAATGGTGATTAAATTAAGGGAAAAAAGTTTTCGATGTTACTTTAGATAACTTTATCTAATGTTCATCGAAACGACGTTCTTTTGGGTTGAAAAATTAAAAAATTAGAGTGATAAAGACTATTATAATCCTGAAATAAATTAAAATTACAAAAATACCTTTCCATTCCAAAACGATGTCGTTTTGATGAACATTAGATAAAGTTATCTAAAATAACATCAGAAAAAACAAACCCTTAAATTAATTGTAAGAATAATAAACTTTTAGGTGATAATCCGTCCTATGGATAAAATCACATAGCGTTATTTTTTGTTGACATTTATTCCATAATAATAAAAAAAAAAATCCACTTCAAGAATCACTTCAACTTTTAGGTATCGTGCAAGCACACCCTTAACAGTAAACAGTAAAACACCCCCGTTAAGCAAAAGGCTAGAGAAAGTGGCCAAAAAATTTCTTTCTTTGTATTTGAAGTTGTCGTTTTCCCTTAGTCTAGCAAACTTGTATATACTGCATAGTACAGTGTACATAGAGGCGAACTTACGGTGTTGCATGTGTCTGCACTCTGCTTTTTAAAAGGTGGATGATTTAGGTAATGTAATTTTTTTTTTTTTTAAGAAGATTGAAAAGAAAAAAGTAAATATAAGTCCAATTACAGTAGTTAAAATTGAGATCTTACCTAAAATCATAAAGAGGATAAAAAATCATAAAACGTAAAATTCTAATATGATAAAAAATCGTAAAAGTGTTTAGAATTTTGATAAAATCGTTTTGATTAAAAAAATCGTAAAAACACAAATTTAAATCGGGATTTTAACTAACATGGGCTCAACCCAACCAACTCCTATAATTAAAAGCTTAAATCTTAAACCCTATACATTTAAAATTTCCTTTAAAAAAATCTTCAAAGGCGCTTTCCCCGAACCCCCGCCTTAAGTGTGCACACATAAATAAAATTTTCTGACTCTATTACTGAGTGTACATACGACAAAAAGGAAGAATAAGACCCATCTGGCAATGGTGTCACGGGTGGAATACCATCTCTTTCGTTCCACCACATTACCCGCTGTATCACCATACCCTCTTCCCCATTTCCTTTAAACTCTCTTTTGTTTCTTCTCTTCTCTTTTGTTTCTTTTCATGCATACAAATATATAATATGTCGAACACAATTTGTACAAATATTCAGGGTATACCAAAACTAATCAAATATTACCAACTTATATAATAGAGACTTCCAAAAGCCTCTCTATAATTTATAAATTAAGATGCAAGTATCACATTCATTTTCACACGGTTTTAAGATTCCCCAAATCAAAGGTCAAAACAACTCCACAGTCCAATATTCCAAACTTATGTTATATTCTTGGAGCCGTCCAAACCTAATAAATAATAATAACTCATCCCTATTTTTTTAATATTATATGCTACAATTATAGTTGTCGCTTTAAGGGTTGCCATTTATAGCTAATTAAATGAGTTGCGAATGGTCATCGCCAATCACGGTGTCACTGTCACGAGTCACGACTCTCCAGTATCCCTAAACATATAATTATACAAAATAAAATATCTCATTTATTGCTCACAATATTATTTACAAAACATTAATTTTATTCTCATTAAAATAAGCATATAAAAGGTAAAAAATTATTATATTTGGAAACATTATTTATTGGGAAAAGTGTGTATAATTTTGAAGGATGTAAAGTTGTGTTATTTTAAGAGAGAGAAAGAGATAGATAAAGGAGGAGAGAGAGTTGACAAAAAAAAATAAAGTTGTGGGTCCCACCTCTTTGTCAGAGTAAAAAGATGTAAGTTGTGTAATTTAAAAGTATAGACACTTTTCCCTTATTTATTTATATAATATTAGGCCAGCTTAGTGGGTTGTGGGGATATAAATTATTTATGCATTCGGATTGACGTCAGCGGATATATTGCCGGAAACATAGCGATTTACATCATTACAGCAAACTTTCTTGCCGTTTGGAATAAATGTAACCAAAAAGATAAATCCCTTTAATTAAGATTCTACCGTATGCTTTTCAATTTATTTGATGCGTGACATAATGATTGATTAACATGGACAAAGAAAATCACAAAAACAAAAAATGGATTTGAAAGATTGTAATCAAATAATATGACATTCATTGATGATGACCTAAAAGTAAAAGAGAAAAAAATATATAATTTTTAAATGAATGATTTATGATTGTGATCAAATAACATCATCATTTATTCACATAAAAGAATCCAAATCCCAAAACAAAAAAATAGACTACAACGTGAAGTAACAGCATCAGCAAAAAACAAACAACAGTAGACTACACATGAATCCCAAAACAGGATATATCATATTGTCATCAACATGGCCACCAACAATGCCACCTTTTCTCTCCCGTCTCCAAAATCCTTTCCCATTAGCACATGCAAACACCCCTTCTTTCCCCTACTTACTAGTTGCTAGTGCTCTCTAACTCATCATAATCAAACAACACCCAAGTCCAATTTTTTAATAAAGTTCATTACTTTATGTTCAGTAAAGTCCAAACAACAGCAAAGAATCCACTTTGTTTTTTTTCCTGCAATAAAGAATTGGAGTTACCGAGAATCAGTTACTCTTGACTCCTGCATCCTCTATTACCGTCCTTATTTTCTTCCTCAGCACATCTTCTCTCTCTCTCTCTGCTTCCTTCTGTTCTGGTTTTCTGCAATGGCGACCCTTGCAGACATTGGTGTCTCTGCTGTCATCAACATACTCACTGCCTTTGCTTTCTTGCTGGCGTTTGCTCTGCTCAGAATCCAACCCATCAATGATAGGGTCTACTTTCCCAAGTGGTATATCAGTGGTGGAAGAAGCAGCCCGAGGAACTCTCGGAATTTTGTGGGAAAATTTGTGAACCTCAATTTCAAGACTTACCTTACCTTCCTGAACTGGATGCCCCAGGCTCTGAGAATGAGTGAAGCTGAGATTATTAGCCATGCTGGTCTTGACTCTGCTGTTTTCCTGAGAATCTATACTCTGGGGTATTTTCCTTTTAGCCCTTGCATTCTTCTTTGCATAAAGTTTCAATTTTTCTTCTAAATTCTCTCTCTGTATGGCTCTATTGTTGTTGTTGTTGTTGTTTTTTTTTTGCCCCCCCTACTAGCACCTTCTGCTTTCAACACAATTCATAATGGGTTGTGAAAAATTACCAATTCTTTTTTGTTGTTTTTATTTTTATAATAAAAAAATTTCATTTTTAGTACATTGTCTAGTCTCTCTCTCTCCCTCTCCCTCTATTCTCCTGACTAGAAGGGGGCGCGGTAATCTTCAGGATTCCGGCAAACCCGAATTTTTCTAAACTTTTAATTTTTAAATATTATCTTAAACTGAACTTAAAAATTATATTTTTGAAAATCTTGATTATATTTTTAAAAATCGAGATTTTCGGACAAAAAAAATATTCTAGTCTACCAAACGACCTCGAAAGAGAATTGTGTTTCCGGGAATCGTGATTTTGTTTGTTGTGTAATTGATGTGATGCATTGTTATGCGGTGATCATGTTTGGAAAATTGTTCAGGAACACTATCTGTTTATCCTTCTCAAAATATTAAGCATTTAGTGGTTGTATGCTTTTGATTATCAGAGAATTCCAGAGAGTCATGCCGTGTGGTTTTCAACTTTCTTTTTGCTAATGCCAGCTTTTTTTCAAACCCTTCCGTGGAAGCTTCAACTTTGGGATGTGTTCATGTTGCTACGTTTTACGCTTTTCCTTCAAGCTCCCTCTATTTCTGTTCTCTAATGTGAATTATTTTGTGTTACGTGTGAAGGCGGCATCTTTTCTGTCAATCATACTTATACAGTCCTTAAATATTAATACCATCATTTGAACTTGCACGTGACATGATTTTACCTGCAGATGCTACTATTTGTGCTTATATATGCATTTGAGATCATGAAAATAAAGAGAAGCTTCTTATTTTCCAATTTAACGTTAATATTGAAACTATTTTACTGTGTTGTGAGCATTCTGACTAGTTTTTCTCTCTTATCCTTCAGCTTAAAGATTTTTGTTCCAGTGACAATTGTGGCACTCCTCATTCTTATTCCAGTCAATGTATCAAGTGCGACATTATCTTTCCTAAGAAGAGAATTGGTAGTGAGTAATATTGATAAACTCTCAATATCAAATGTTCCACCTAAATCTCTAAGGTACGGTTATGTTTTCTTCTAACTCTAAAACAAAATAAGATATAAAATACAAATAAATAATTAAGCGCATTCTTTTTTTGAACTAATGCCTCCTTTGAGGTTCAAGTTGGTGCTTCCTTTTCTTGGCATGAACATGAACTACTCATGTCACTCATGGCTTAGAACCTAATTAGGAAAAATGTTATTGAAGCATATCTTCCATTGTCTCAGGATAATTGGGGTGACAGTAAAGTAGAGGAGGGCTAAGTACAACAATGATTTGTGAAAGTGAAATTTCAAAAATTATACTAAAACAAGTTCTGAAGATAATTACCAATTTTATGTTGTCTGATTATACATCTAGGGAAGTTTTTATGTATATCTCCCAGAAAACATGGGATGTCAATCAAACATAGTATCCTACAACTTATTGTACCAAGCAATTTCTCATACTGAGATTCTATGATCTCAGTTTCAAAAAAGACTTTCGACATATGTAACTAATTACATTAATTTTGTTCCTTCAAGGAGTTCACCTTTAATCATATGGCATGCTAATGTCATGGCACCTGAGGTTTTAATAAAAAACTCATCCAATCCTTGGTATCTATAGTATCTAGTTATCTACTGTTTACCATGTTTTCTATTCATATGTATGTATATATCTTTCTCTATATCTCTCTTGTTCTGGTTAAATCCTGTCATATTTATCTTTTATGTCTATTACAATGCAGGTTACATCTTCACGATAGTCTGTTTGTGTTACCAGCTCTCTTACTTGTCTAACTGCTGTAATTGAAAATTTCAGATTTTTTGTTCACATAGCATTGGAATACCTGTTCACAATATGGACTTGTTTTCTGCTTTACAAGGAATATGATAATATAGCATCAATGAGATTGCTTTTCTTGGCCTCACAACGCAGGCGTGTGGACCAATTCACGGTCAGTTGAAAATTTTAATTCATTTTTAATAAAGCAGGATAAAATTTAGAATGTTAATATTTGCAAGAATGTATCTCTTGGAGCTCCTCACCATTTTCTCAATCAGTGAGGTGTATGTTTTAGAGTAAGTGTGTATTATGGTAAGGCTTGAATTTTTCTTTTGATTAGTTTATTTTTCATGAGTTTGTAAACAAATAATGGGGTGTAAAAGGTATCACCATAGTCCAAGCTAAGACGTGTGTATAATAATACCCTTTGGACGAGCCTTAAGATGATCAAGTTGATCATCATGGCCAACCTTACCAGTAAAGATCCACCGGGAATCCTCAACAGACATTCCGGGAGGAAGAAGAATGAGATCCCAAGTACCACTGCTTTGAAGGGCTCACATTTCATCAACCAGCTTGTTTTTCATCTAGGATGAGATAAAGATAACATTACTTAAGATCAGATATCAGCAGAGAGTAAGAGAGTTACAACGATAACATTGTGGATACCAAGTGTAACCAAGGAAGCTGCACTTGAGTGACCGAGCCGAAAGCTTATAAGTCCAAAATTGAGATTGTTAAGAAAACAAGTAGGCCCAAAGACACAGGTTGCCAAGGAATGCAGAGACTGATGGAAAACTTAGGGTTGCTTCTCTTCAAGCTCTAAATATCATGTTAAGGAAAGATGAAAAGAGAGACATATTACAGTGGAGGCTATATTATATAGACAAGAAAGTAGTAATTATATAGATCGCAAATGTCCTAATTACTTTACATGATTTGGTCTATGCAAATGCAATGAATTCCAACAGGAGTTTTTGACTATCTGCTGCATATGAATGTAACTCGTTTTTTTTTTTTCCCTCACTATTTGTATGTTGTTTGATTTGATATTTACTGGTTCAATGTTGATGCCCTCTATCTATTTAGGTAGTTTTCCACCCATGATGCTTTTTCATGATTATTGTATAATGAAATAATGTATCATGGCTTTTCGGTGAGAAAAATATTTGGAAAAGCAAAATTTGAATCTGTACTTCCCTAATTCTTTACCCGAATACTGCTGTTTTATTTGGCTATGGTGCTTTAGTATTTACTTCTTTACAAGGAGTCAATATTCAGTTTCTTTCTCTCTAGCTTTGAATCCTGTTCTTGGTACTTGAATAAAGTGGCCTTGGAACTCCAAGGGAGATGTAAGATGTGGCAGTGGGAGTGATGCTTAAATGTTTGTCTTAGACGTATATTAAACTCTTATAGCAAAGACGTAATGATTTTAGACTACTTTTCATCTTGGATTGTCCCTCCTATTAATGCTGATTTACCCCCTCTTTGAACCATCTTTTCAAATCTTCAGGGTTTACATGCTTGTTGCAGGTAGTTGTCAGGAATATTCCTCATATTTCTGGTCACTCAGTATCACAAACTGTGGATAGCTTCTTTCAAACAAACCACCCAGATCATTATATTGGACACCAGGTAATAAATTTTAATTATATTCTTGATTGGGGAAGTTTTATTAAAGATAAACTATTCAAGAAATAATTTGAATGGAAGTATAATATTTATGCATGGTGTCAATGTTAATGTATTTTAATTTAGCATACTATTTATTTGCATTATATTATATTGATATTGTTGTCCATTCATTTCTCAGGCGGTATACAATGCAAACAGATTTGCTAAATTCGTGAGAAGAAGAGATAGACTCCAAAATTGGTTGGACTATTACCAGCTTAAGTTTGAGAGGAATCCTGACAAGAGGCCAACTGTCAAGGTATGTACTTGCTCTGAATGCAAGCAGTAAAGTATGTGACTTAATGATAATCTGTTGGCACCCTGGATCTGACATTGTTATCTCTTCTCATTTTTAGACTGGACTTTTGGGGCTTTGCGGTGGGAAAGTTGATGCTATTGAGTACTACAAACAACTAATTAAGGAACTTGATAAAATGGTTAGTCATTATTGTTTCTCCTTTCTGCAATATGTTAACTCTTTCTTGTTATTTCCTTTATCGTTTTTAAATTTTTGTAAGGTAATTTTCCATGTCCGTATGCTAATATGTGGACTTCCCTTATTTCTATCGAAGTACTTTGATATAGCTATGCTGCATATCTCATGCAGATGACATTGGAGCGCCAGAGAATTATAACAGATCCGAAATCTATTTTGCCAGTTGCTTTTCTTTCATTCAATTCTCGTTGGGGAGCATCTGTTTGTGCACAAACCCAACAAAGCAAAAATCCTACTCTCTGGCTGACTGATTGGGCTCCAGAGCCACGGGATGTGTATTGGCGGAACCTGGCAATTCCATTTGTTTCTTTAAGCATCCGAAAACTTATAATATCATTGTCAGTGTTTACCTTGGTATTCTGCTACATGATTCCCATTGCTTTTGTGCAATCCCTTGCAAATTTGGAGGGTCTTGAAAGAGTTGCTCCTTTCCTCAGACCAGTAATAGAATTGTAAGTGAACTTAAATGTTTTTGAAAATACGATAGAGAAGTTAATTACTCTAGAAGTTGAGGTATATGATTCTCGAATTTCATCTTTCACTGTCTTAACTTCTTTGGTAGGATAATGCTCAATCTCGATTTGTTAGTCTTTGCTTTTGAAATTAGTCAGAACTCTTGGTGTAATGCAGTACACATGCCTTGAAGGCCATTGAAATTGACTATTTTACCTTAGGGCTAAACAGATATTCTTTTTCTTTGCTTATATTTTATCCATTAGTAAACAAGTTACTCTAGCTTAGTTTGTTTTATTAATTGATCGATCTTTGTGGTACACTATTTCCTTCATTTTTTCTCATTAAATCGTTATATATTTGTTTTCTTTTCTGCTTTGATGAATTTTCAGTTGTAAAATATATTATATACATTACTGGCCCAGATTTGCTACTTAAAAATGAAATGATTGGAATATTTATTTGTTTCTAACTTTTATCCATATAACTCAAAATCCTATTTTGCCTCCTTTATTTTCCACAAGGCACCTAATACACAGGTAGGTTTCAGATGGACTTAACATTCAATTGTATAAATGTTTAAGCGAGGTTCAGTTTAGGATTGGATGTAGTTATTGACTTAATGAAATTGTATTCATGCTTGGAGTTGACTACTTGATAACCTGCTTCGTACTTTTAGATTCTAGATCGTGATTCATGTCCTACAAGTCTTATTGTTAACCTCAGAAAGGTTTTATGGCTTTTGGCAGGAAATTCATCAAGTCCTTTCTACAAGGTTTTCTTCCTGGTTTGGCCCTTAAAATATTTTTGTATATTCTACCCGCGGTTCTGATGATCATGTCAAAAATTGAGGGATATATTGCCTTGTCAACCCTTGAGCGTAAGACAGCAGCAAAATATTATTACTTTATGTTGGTGAATGTTTTCTTGGGAAGCATAGTGACGGGGACTGCGTTTGAGCAACTGCATGCTTTCCTTCATCAGTCACCTACACAGTATGTCTTCTTTACATTTGTTACTTGAGTATATCTGATCACCCACTTTGGAAATGTTGATACTAGATTTTACAACTTTTCAATGGGTATTTGGCATGCTTGCTTTTTCGATTGCTTTTCCTGTAGTGTTTTGAAATCCAGAAGACCATGTATATTGCTTAATTACAGTCCATCCAAAATAAGAAACACACAGAAAGTCCATTTGAAAAATAAAAAAGAATAAAGAAAATGGGAAACAAAGATGGAAATTTGCACGTCTAAGTATGATGGAGAGTAGGACAAGCAAAATGTTAAGGTAATTCTATGGAGTGGTGAACCTCTCTAGAGGTTGCATTTTCACCCTCAGATATACTATGAACTTTGTGTTAGTGTATAAATAAAAATAATTTAACATTCATTTGGTGCTGTAAAAAATTGATTCAACCAATCAAGAATCAACCACTTGAGAGATCCACCTCCGTATAATGACCGAAAAATGTTAAGTCGTTTTGATACTTGATCTGGCAGCCAGTCTTGAATAAAGCAGTTCTTAAGTAAAGCAATGACCGGCTAGCTATTTAATTGTATCTAGACAAGCAATCATATGCACAATAATTATGCCGTTAGATTTGCTCTATTCTTGTATCGACCTTGCAATTTCTTATATTCAATGTCAATAAATACTATAACCTTTTGCAACGTTATTGAATTTTACACCGTATTTAATTTTTTGTTTTGCTCTTTTTCATTGACTCAGGGATTTTTTTTCTCTCTCTTTAATAAGTAAGTTATACATATGCTCTCTGCGTGAATGATCCTTATGAATTTTATTATTGATTATAGGATTCCTAGAACAATTGGAGTTTCCATTCCAATGAAGGCTACCTTCTTTATGACATACATAATGGTTGATGGCTGGGCTGGAATTGCTGGTGAGATTCTCAGATTAAAGCCATTGGTTATATATCATCTCAAGAACATGTTCTTAGTTAAAACTGAGAGAGATAGAGGAAAGGCCATGGACCCTGGGAGTGTGGACTTTCCAGAGACTATTCCAAGTCTTCAACTATATTTCCTTCTTGGAATTGTGTATGCTGTGGTGACTCCAATCCTTCTTCCCTTCATAGTAGTCTTCTTTGCCTTTGCATATTTGGTTTACCGTCATCAGGTCAGTGTCTCCACTAGTATGATCTCAAAACATGCCTTTTTTGCTAAGTAGGGCTTATGCACAAGCTAGCTTGAACTTGAAGATTTCTAAGATTTTGGAATTTTCAAACACAAAGCACCTTGTGGTTTTCTATAAGGGTGAACATGGATTGGGTTATGGAGAAATTAGGCTTAGGGTATGCTGCATGCGAGATAATAATTTGTATGAAGGTTCACAACCTTATAAGTTATAACATTTTGTTTAAAAATGCAATGACACAAGTGTGGTCTTATGGTGTAGTCTGAATATAATCTTCTATGATGTTTAATTATGCAGATAATTAATGTCTACAATCAACAGTATGAAAGTGCTGCAGCATTTTGGCCACATGTTCACAGCCGCATTATAGCAAGCTTACTACTATCTCAGCTTCTTCTGTTGGGTCTGCTTAGCACCAAAAAGGCAGCTAATTCTACACCTTTGCTTGTTATCTTACCAATCTTCACATTTGCATTCCACAAGTACTGCCAGAGTCGTTTTGAGCCAGCATTTAGGAAGTACCCACTTGAGGTATGATATCCACTATAGAATGAATATACACCAATATTACAAATTTCCAACTGAAAAGGGGTACTAAACCTTTGGTGTAGTGTATAATTCTCTAAATATTTTTCTTTGGAGGTGACTACATATTATATGATTGTTCATATTTGATACTTGTATTGGAAACTGATTTGTCTTCCATATATATAAATCTATTCAGGAAGCAATGGCAAAGGATTTATTGGAGAAAGACACAGAACCAGACCTGAACATAAAGGCATATTTGGCAGATGCTTACTTGCATCCAATATTCCAGTCATTTGAGGTAGAAGAGGAGTTGGTTGAAGTTAGAGTAGATAAACACCAAACTCATCATATAGCTAGTCCTTCAATAAGTGAACCTAGTTCCCCCTCCCCACCCCATCATGTGCATCAACCTTCACCACCTCAATATAGTGAGTATCCAACGTCACCACCTGGTTATTACTACCATTCTTCCACCCCTTCCCATTATGTCCATCAGTATCAAGGTGAACCTTGAACTAGTGCATATCAATTAACAAGTTGCTTGAGACCCCCTTACAGAAAGTTTAGTGTTTTTATTGACCTGGCTTTTTATCCATTGCAAATGTAAATTATCTTTTTCTTAAATGTAATAGCTGTGGTTTAATTTAAATATGTGATGGCTAAAGTAGGCAGGGTTTCAATAAAGCTGCTCAAATTATTATTTATTTGCCAAATTAATTGGGTGATTTGCCTTGAGTGTTGCTATTAATGCGAGTAATTCAATTCTCAGATGGGATTCATACATTTTAGATATAGAATAATGCAATGTGAAAAAAAAGGAAATAATTTCGCTAATTAAATTATTTTTATATTAATTCATGAAAAAAAAAATCTTCGTCAACATTTTAGGAACATTGGCAGACTGAAACCAACATTATTTTTTATTTTCATTTTTCTCCATTATTTTACCTGAGTAAGATTTAGAGTTGAGATTAGTAATATGGAGCCTAGCGTGTAGTGATGTCTGAACTTAGAAATTAATTTGATTTGTTTAAAAAATATGGGATAGCAAAAAAAAAGTATACTTTATTTGATTATTTAAATAGTATAAGTACGAATAAAAAATAAACAGATCTTTATATTTTTTTCATCTAATAAGTCAAGGTATAAAATGTTGTTAAACATATTGATAATCTATATTCTTTCATTATTTATAATTTTATTATGTGTAAAATAATACATGACATAAAAAGTATTATAATAAAATTCATTTTATGTTTAGTAAATTAATATATTTTATTTTATACATAAATATCACAATTTTTTATTTGATGAATTGTTCATGAAATAACTAGAGACTACACTCAGTTTGTGGCAACCATAAGGTGTTTGCTTGGAGTTTTTCTCAAGATATCAGGCATTTTAGAATGGTATTTTAAGTTGTCTATGCTTGATATAAGTTTATACAAAATTCAAGTAAACTGATGCCTATCATTTCTCATTTTTTTTTTTTAAAATTGTAATGAAAAATACCGTTTAAGAATACCATTTTAAAGGTGGTATTTTGAGATTACCAAAAAGAGGAGCGTGAAGTAAATAATGAAAATGATCGTCTTCTAATCCTCATGTGTAATATTATTCAATCAATGGTTGCTTTTATAATTTCACCTATTTTTTTTCAACAATATTTTAATTTCAACCGATTTCGGAAACTTAAATCAATTTTTTTCGTAATATTTCAGTCTACTAAATAATTTTTTTTTTTTTTAATTTTCAAAACTCATTTTTTTCGTCATTTTTCTAATAATTATAATTTTTTAATAATTTTTTTTTTCTCTTATGCCAAAAAGCCTCACATTATTCATTTCCCAACATAAAAGCTGTTGGGCGTGAAACATCTTAATAACTTTGCCCTCGCTCTGTGTGTGTGTCTCTCTCTATATTTCCTTCACCAAACATTCCACTATTCTGAACATGATGGCTCCGGGGAGGGTGTTTCCAAGCGGCATGTTCCTATGTCAGTAATAGCTTCACTCTCAAGCGAGTCCAAATGTAAAAAGAATAAGACTATCCATCCTTTTGGGGGCAATGCCTCATTCTTTGTAATTGTAATTGTATTGCACCAACTTCTTTTCGACTACTCTGCTTCTGATTGAATGGCAGCAAACGGAAACTGCGACATGCTCCAAAACACAAGCACAACACTTACTCACCCTCATTGGTACTCACCAAAAACCGGAATTTACCATAGCAAACACGCTCCCTTGAAGCTTCCCACCGACCCTTTTCTCGACATTGTTTCCTTCATTTTTTCTCACCCCCATAATGGGGTTTCAGCCCTCGTTGATTCCTCATCTGGGTGTTCTATTTCGTACGCAAAGTTGTTACCTTTGGTCAAATCCATGGCTTCTGGTCTCCACAAAATGGGTGTTTCTCAAGGTGACGTGGTTTTGCTTCTACTTCCAAATTCCATTTACTATCCCATTGTGTTCTTGGGTGTTCTGTATCTAGGTGCTGTTGTTACACCATTGAATCCTCTCAGTAGTATCTATGAAATACATAGGCAAATTATTGAGTGTGGTGTGAGGATGGCTTTTACTGTACCTGAAAATCTCAAGAAACTAGAACCATTGGGTATTCCTGTTATTGCTGTGCCAGAAAATGAGAAGGGTTTGAGGCATGGTTGTTTCTCAGGTTTTTGTAACCTGATTTCTTGTAACTTTGATTTGCCTCAAAGGCCAGTTATTCAACAAGAAGACATTGCAGCTATATTGTATTCTTCAGGGACTACTGGGGTGAGTAAGGGAGTTGTTCTGACCCATAAAAATCTTGTTGCTATGGTTGAGCTTTTTGTGAGGTTTGAAGCTTCTCAATATGAATACTCTTGCTTGAAGAATGTGTTTCTAGCTGTTTTGCCAATGTTCCATATATATGGTTTATCGCTCTTTGCTATGGGATTACTGTCTTTGGGTTCTACAGTCATTGTGATGAGGAAATTTGACATCGATGAGGCTATCACGGTGATTGATAAATATAAAGTTACACACTTTCCTGTTGTTCCACCAATGTTGACAGCATTGACAACGAGGGCAAAGGGTATTAATGGAAGTAAGTTGAAGAGTTTGATACAGGTCTCCAGTGGTGCAGCGCCTTTGAGCGTAGGAGTTATTAATGACTTTGTCCAAACTTTCCCTAATGTTGATTTTATACAGGTACATAACCTCAGAACAAAATAGTCTTATTAAAGTTGAGCCTTTATTTGTTTGTGGTAATGTTGCTTTTCTGGACTTATAAGAATGTGCAGCTCTAAAGTTTTTTCTTTGTAGGGTTATGGAATGACCGAATCAACTGCAGTAGGAACACGTGGCTTCAATACTGAAAAGTTTCACAATTATTCTTCAGTAGGGTTGTTAGCTCCAAACATGGAGGCAAAAGTAGTAGACTGGAATACTGGTGCTTGTTTGCCCCCGGGCAACAGCGGTGAGCTTTGGTTGAGGGGCCCTTCAATTATGAGAGGTAAAAATCCATGTTTTCCTGAATTGATATAGAATAGAAAGTTTTAGCCTTATCCATTTATTGTATTGCCATATCTAAAAATATTAGCCTGCTTCATTTAGAAGATCTCATGTGGTTTCATAGACATCTTATTTACAAATAATATGAATATCTAGGTTGGTGATATTCCATGAGCACCACAATTTGGCTAAGAAGCTCCGTTTACTTTTAGTATTCTTCTAGTGAGTGATATATTATAAACTTACCTGCTACAGTGTTTCTGGCTTTAAATATTTGAATAGACTGAGTAATTTAGTTTTACTTGTTTTAATTATTCCTATCAGATATTGCTGCTACTGAAATCTAATTCATTTGTAAGATACCATTGTCATTTCCTTATCAGTAAAATGCTACTGAAAGTTTTCTTTCTCTTCAGCTTAGAGAAAGCTGAAGTAAAATTTCTCTTCAAGGCAATTGTTTAAGTTTGTCACTATGACTTCTTGTTTTTTTTGTCATTTTCCTATATTAGAGGGTGTGTGTGTGTGTGTGAATTGAAATGCATTAATCCAATTTATTTTCTTAATTTCTCAGGATACTTGAATAATGAGGAAGCCACAATGTCAATAATTGATAAAGATGGTTGGCTACATACTGGAGATGTTGTTTATTTTGATCAGGATGGGTATTTACATATATCTGACCGCTTGAAAGATATTATCAAATACAAGGGCTTTCAGGTATTTAAATTTTGGTTTAATAAATTTTTATCAAAATTATAATAATAATAAGTAATATAAATAAAAAACAGTCCCCTTGAGATTGTTCAATTGGTAAAGCTGTGAGATATGCAATGAGAGTGCGCGGGTTTAAACCTGCAATCTTCCCTTTTCCCATTCCCTTCCCCCCTCCCCCTCTCCTTGGGGCTCCCTGTGGGCTTCCCCTAGAATCCACCTCAGTGCTGGGTCCTCCCTTGAACAAAATAAATGAATAACAAACAATTCAGAAGCTTACAGAAATGCACACTTTGTATCATTGTATGGAACTATAGCTGTGTGTACTTATAAATGTGTAACAATTAAGAAATTTCAACCGGCTTTCTTCATTTGCGGGGCAGTGAAGCAGCTGGCAGTAGATCGCCGGTATTTTGAGATAGATTTCACTGCTTATAAATTTCAGGCAGAATGTTTTTGTTAGGCATCTAGCATTTGTTTATGCACTTCATCTACGTAGTAAATAACTGCAAAAGCTTCTCATGTTCAAATGCATGGGTATAGTACACCTCTTGTTCGGTGGAACACTTGAAATACTTGTTGGATTGATCAATTTGTCTAGATTGACTTAGAAAGACATAAAATGTGAGGCAAAAAGTAGAAATACTGACCGATAAATGGTGGATTTTGATAGATTTTTCAGGAGAAACTGCAAAGTGCAAACCCTTTGTAAAGCTCTTTGATGCCTAATTATAAAAAGGTTTACTATTTAGGAAGTAGTGTTGTATTTTCCTAAAACATTTGTCTGTATATTTCACGATCTTCAATCACTGAGGAGGATATGTTGTTTTTATGTTACACTTAATTTTTACTCAATTTATATCTGTTGTATATATATATTTTTATATATGGCATATGATTATGTTACAGATTGCTCCTGCTGATTTGGAAGCTGTGTTAATTTTGCATCCTGAAGTAGTTGATGTTGCTGTTACAGCGTAAGTATGAACACTTCATTTATGTCTTCCTTGGAAAAGATGGCCGCTTACCAAATCCTCCCTGCATGTGTGTACTGCTTTTATAAATTGCAAGCATACCCTGTTCATTGGTTGCTGAGTTATTTGTTTTTCAAACAATCCAAACATCTACATGAGTGTCTGCTTGTACATCTTAGTCAACAGTACTTTTTAAGTTCCTCTTTGGCCATTAAAATATAACCTGAAATGTTGCATCACTTTCCATTTCAGTGTCATGGATGAAGAAACTGGGGAGATGCCAGTGGCATTTGTGGTGAGGAAGGTTGGAAGTGTGCTTTCTACCAAGCATATTATGGATTATGTTGCTGAGCAGGTTCTTATTGACAAGACAGACATGAATGCTATCATATTTCAATTCACAATTACTACTTGAATCAATGCTGTAGTGTCTATAGGAATGCTTTTCACATTGCATTTATGCATCATGTACAAGGCCATTAATTGGCTACAATCTGAATTTTGTTAGATACTAAGATTTTCTTCCATTTTGTAAATCTTTTATGGCAGGTTGCTCCACATAAGAAGGTTAGGAAAGTGGTCTTCACTGACAAGATACCAAGGTCTGCGACTGGTAAGATCCTTCGAAAGCAGCTTAGGAATTGCTTGACTTCTAAACTCTAAGGCATCTTTCAGGACAGAGGACACGCCCCAAGCACAATATTGAAAAATTACCGAAGATAATTTTGAATAATGGGTTATCTTAACCCAAATTTTGTTGACTATTGATACTTGCATCAAGAGGGCTATTAAAGAAATATTGAAAAATTACCAAAGACAGTTTTGAAATATGTTTTATGTTAACACAAATTTTATTGTCTACGATTGTATTGATAATGGATCATGAGTGCTATTAAAGGAAGGAAGAACATTGTGTCTTAATGGATCACGTTACCAGAAATAAATTCAAACTTTATGTGAAATAAATTCCTCGATTATATCTTATTTAAAGTTTGAACTTTAGTTTTTTTTTTTCCTCTCCCTTAAGAGTGTAGTTTTCTTAATGACATTTACAAACACCAATTTATCCTATTTAAAAAACGAAAGACTTGCTATAGACCATTACTGTTTATCATATAAAAGGCATCTAAATACAATCGTACTTGGATGTTTGCCATTATCAACTTCATAGATCTTTTACCTGAAACCAACTTGTGATTTTTTAATTTTTTTTTAAGGGTGGTTAAAACAAGTAGATTTTAAAACTATCACAAAAAACAAACAAGTAGATTTTAATATTAATGATATGGGTGATGTCATTGTTTTTATGATGGCCTTGTAAGTTAGGTGGTGAAATTTGACAATGCTTAATAATTTGCTTTGCAAGTAAGAAATTAAAAAATAAGTCTTTTTTCTTTTTTTCTTTTTTTGTATAATATAAAGGTATCTCCATTCAATCTCTTTTGATTATTTTATCTTCGGAATACGGTTCTTTTACTTATTTGAATAGATGTAAGAATTATCATGGAAGTAAAGTGAAATGACAAAATATTAATTTTTCTTCATTAATTGTTACAAGGATGGAAATTTTTTTAGTTTATAACCAAGGTATTTCCTTAAGCGTAAATATAAGATTAATTTCTTATGCAGGCACAAAGTTATCAACATGTCATGTTAGATAAAGACATCCACTCCCGTAAGTTAGCACAAGTGTCAGCCACCTGCCACTAGTTTGCATGCTACAACTGTAGCCATTTAACGACAGTTTTGTCCTTTTTCTCCTCTCAACCAACAACACAACCTTAACATGTAACCAAAAAAAAAAAAAAAACACACAACCTTAAAAAAAAACAATTCCTTTTTACACAGCTCAGTAGTATCCGTCAAGGGCTAATTCCAGGTTGTAGCAAATGGGTATCCCAGAAAACTGCGAAAGTGGAGAACTTTGGAAAGAGTCAGCTGAATCCGAAAATGGGAGCACTTCCACTGTGTCTGTGAGCCCAAGTTTGCATCTTCAGTTGTTTGGGGTATTACATTGGATTGTTTCTCTGGGGCTTATTCTGGCAATGGATATTCTTTTGAAGAAAGGCTTCACAGCCGCTTCGATTGAGTTCCCAAGTGCCTTGTTTGGCATGTTCTGTATATTCACCGTTTTGATTATTCTTGATTTTGCTGTGCCCTCTGTAGCTGTGGCCTTGATGAATTTTTTTGAACCTGGGCTTATGTTCATTCAGAGATGGCTACCCTTGTTCTATGTTCCTTATTTGGTTGTGCTACCCCTTTCTCTTAAAGATATTCCCCCTCCTTCTGCCATCAAAATTTTCCTTATTATAGGTACATGCATGTCTTGTCTTTTCCTTTTATTAAGTTTTGGGTTCAGCTTATCTTTCAATCTATACATTTTTCTTGTTGCTGGAAGCTGCAAAGTATGCTTTTTCAGTTTAATGCAGTCACCTGGATTAAAATTTGAATTTGTTGATTGCTAGCATATAGACTACTGGTTAAGCTATTTATTATGATGTGGCTGTGTTTTGTGTAATTAAATGTTTGTTACAGTTCTGTGGTGAGACTTAATTAATGTTGTGCAGTTGGAGGATGGCTGGCTACACTATGTGTTGCTGGTTTCACAGCTATAGGTATAAGGAAAGCTGTGAAGACAGAATTGATAGAGGCTGAGCCTATGGAAAAGCCCTCTCCATTTTCTTCCATTGAAGTTTGGGCATGGACTGGGGTTCTCCTTATATCATTTGTTGCTTCATTATTCCACCCAACTGCACTGGGGACAAGTGCCAGAACATGCCTTCCATTCTTGCTTGCCTCCACAGTGTTAGGCTACATGGTTGGTTCTGGGTAAAGGTTCCTTTTCACTACTTCATATTATACACATTGGAAATTACTATTTACATGGTTGGTTGGGGGGAGGGGGACAATTACTTTTCCTTTGTTTGTTTAAGATTTATATGGAACAAAAAAGTGAAATATTTCATGGAAAATTCTATTAGCATTTTATTATAGACAAATATAGTTTTTCTTTTTCTTACTATATTCGTTTTCAGATTGCCATCAAATGTGAAGATGGTCGTCCATCCAATAATTTTCTGTACTGCATCTGCAGAACTAACAGCAGTTGCTTTTGGCTATCTTTCCCACTCAGGGCTTGATCCTGTTCTAGGTATAATTAAAAGTTAACCATTTAATTTACTACATCGTATAACTTGTTCTTTCTTTGATTGGCAAATTTAACTAGGAAAAGAAAATTATTTTCAGAATCACTAGTTAGAATTTCTGTTCTGACTGTAGATACCTTATGAGTTACTACAAGCATTCAGAAGTCTCCTTCCATTCCATGTTAAGTTTAAATCTGATTTATTAAACTTTTTAGCACAACCTGAAAAAGTAACATATGTCAACTTGAGATAAGCTCACCTTATTTGGTTTGATTAACGTCCTGCTTATAACAATAATGTAAAGTTGTGGCACTAAATGGCTTTCCATTTTATTTAGCTGAGTGAGGTGCAAATTTATCAATAGATACTATGTAATGACCTAAGTTTGTTATAATTTTGTCAATTCTTCTTTTGACATTCCCAGAATATTACATTACAAAATCATCTTCTAATCCTGGAGCTGGTGACATTCTAATGGGATTTTTGGGATCTGTAATTCTCTCGTTTGCCTTCTCAATGTTCAAACAAAGAAAGGTAACCATCTAGATTTGTCTCTAAATAAATGCTATACTGTAGCAAAAAATAAAAAATAAAAAATAAATCATATAAATTCGATATATTCTTATTACCTAGCAAGCTGTTTCTTTTGATTTTTGACAAAGTTAGGCAAGTTGCAGCAAACCTTATACCTGGGCTATGTTTGATATATTATTACTAAGTTCTGAGTAATTAATGATGTGCAGTAGCAGTTCAGCAAGTGAATTATACATATTCTTCGTACCAATAGCTCTTTTCCCAATTAGTCCCCGACCCATTGAAAAAAAACGAATGAAAACACTGAGGGTGGATTAATGATAATGAGTTCATTGTAATAGATTGACTAGTATTTACAAAATATGAGAACAAGTACAGAATAATTAACGAAAATCTTGTATTATCTTAATGCCACCATGCTAACTTAAAACCTGTTCTTTTCAGTTTGACTTGGTAATCCAACTTTTTTACACAGGAGGCATCTCTTTTATCTGTTCTTTTTTGCTTTATTCTTGCCCGATTAGGAAAGACCTTTTACGAGGTGAATAGGATAGTCATTCCCGGATGACAATAGAGTTTGTTTTATTTGAACAAATATGAATTCAAACTGGACCATTAACTAATATCATGCACTAATGATTTATATACTGTATTCAGCTTGTAAAAAGGCATGCAGCTGAGATTTTCACCTCTGTCATCGTCTCTACAGTATTCTCGTTGTACTCAACTGCCCTTGTTGGACGTCTAGTTGCATTAGAACCATCTTTAACTGTGTCCATTCTACCCAGATGTATAACAGTGGCATTGGCTCTCAGCATTGTGTCTTTTTTTGAAGGTAAATATTATGTCTGCACAGCTACTGTTTATTGCAATCATCACGTACAGTGAATCTAAATTGGAGCCAATGGAATAAATTTGGAGGTTACTTAAGTCTTAATTTTCATCTCTCAAAATTTTGCAGCTGCCGATCCATCTCTCACCGCAGCTGCAGTTGTAGTAACTGGTCTGGTTGGAGCAAATTTTGTGCAATTTACACTTGATAAACTCCGTTTTCGTGATCCAATTGCTCGGGGAATAGCAACTGCGTCTAGGTATGTTTTGCAATTCATAGATCATTCACTTGACCAAGAAACCATTAATTATCCCTGCAATCCAAACTTCAATTACCAGCATACTTAATGGTCATTGACACACTGTTTCTGAATGTGCACTATGTCAACTTTATCCAAGAAGTAATTTGGAAAAGGAGAAATAGTATTATTCAGGAAACACACCATACAAGTTGATAAACTATTTTCTTCTTCAAGCATATATGCTTATTTTGATTGCTCTTGAATGAATGTTGACAGTGCTCACGGGCTTGGAACAGCAGCTTTATCTGCCAAGGAACCTGAGGCTCTCCCTTTTTGTGCCATTGCTTATGCTCTGAATGGTATATTTGGTTCTCTACTTTGCTCAATTCCAGCAGTCAGACAAAGTTTGCTTGCAATAGTTGGCTGAAACTCTGGTCACCAGGATCTTCCTTTAACTCCTATGCAGTATCAGAATATTCCTTTTAGTGCCATAACTTCCATTGCATATCTAATGGCTGCACTAGTGTATATAGAGCAATATTAAGAACCTATGAGTTAGTAGCACCATTTCGTACGTTGTATAGGAACTTGTTCTTCCGAATTGGTCACTTCTATCGGAAAAATCGATGAACCGATCAAGTCACTGGTGAACATTTAACAACTACAAAATCAGTAGAGAACTAATCCAAAACTGATAAAAACTGATTGTGAAAAGTTGAAGTTAGACAAACCAATTTTTGAGACAAATATAGAACACATAAGAATTGCTCAGCCGGAATATCTCCAAAAAAAAGAAAAGAATTGCTAAGCCTTTTATCATTATATGTAATATGGTTCTTTTATGTTAATTTAAAACTTTACTAGTAAGCTGGTAACATCACTTATTAAAATTGGAATAAAGTAGTAGTAAGATAAATAAAAACCCATTCAACCAGTCTAGTTTCAAACCAGTGAGTTATCTAGTATCATTAAATTTGAGATATTTATTAGTACTATCTTAAATTGGCACAATTAATTTATTAATACTTTATTATTTCTAAATTTTAATAAAAGTTCCACTTCAATATTTAATACTTAAAATGGCCCAATAAATTTATCATGGTTACCTGACAAACTTCAAAAAAAAAAAAAAAAAAAAAAAACAATTAATCCTACGACTGGGTCAATATCTTTGTGAAACACCCGGTACGTGAGGAATGAAAACAGAAGTGGATTTTGAGGATGCACCAATCTCCTTCGACGTGTCAAAATATTGGGTCACTAAAACCATCTCCATGAATGATATCCTTTGATGTTGTCCCAATCACATTTTCAGAGAAAGCTAGCACACTGTCCCTCAATCCCATCTACTATGGCTTGGCGCTGAAGCTATTTCAAGCTCTGCAAGATACTTTGATTCTGCTTCCCCTTCAGCCACCCTCAATCTTGCAGTTATTTGTGGTGATGGTTGAAGCACCAAGTAATGACTATAACGGAAGAAACAACAATGCCTTGAATAAATTTATGCTCAAGCAAGAAAAATCCTCATCTAAATATGTTTGACAAATACAAGAAATCTTGTGGATTTGAAGTGGCATCAATAAACATACAATTTTCCAGTCAATTTGTAAATATTGTTCAAGATAATCACGGTAATGACACTGGGAATTTGGGAAGTATTCTATAATAAAAAGTAACTCAATGTTCAGTTATTTAATGACAAAGAATCTCCAATTAAAATCTCTCAGCTGAAAAAATCTGCATAAAAGAACATTAAATTAACCATTATTTCGTTTGCATGCTTGGAAAAGAAATAAGAGCAACTCGAGCTGAAACTACTACAGCCGCATCTAGAAAACATAACAGCATTTATCTCATTCATGGATCTCTTCACATGCACAAGTGTAAAGAACCCCAAAAGCTAGCTCAAAAGGTGGGAGTGCCCAAGACCTTATAAACTCCACATTAGTTGCTCATACAATCAATGTGGAACTATATATCTCAACACGCTCCCTCACACAAGAGCCCATTGGGCTTGAAGAGTGGATAATGCAACAAGCTCAGCCTACCTGTGCTAAGAAACTTCACAAGAGAAAGTGGGGGACGGCGAGGCTCTGATACCATATAAAGAACCTTGGGATACACCACCCCAAAAGCTAGCTCAAAGGGTGGGAGTGCCCAAAGCCTTATAAACTCCACATTAGTTGCCAATAAACGTGGGACTATATATTTCAATAAGTGTTGCTCGATATCCACAATAAGAGTCTGAACTATCTCGTACCATAAACTGCCATAGCCTAGATAGTAAAACAAACACATTATGGATGTCCAACTGCCATCTTAATTTTCAAAACACCCAAAACATGAAAAAAAGAAGATGAAAGAAATACCTTTTCAAGTTCTCCCTCAACTGCTTTTGCAATTTTATTCTTCTCTTTAAAAGCAGAGAATAAATCAGTTTCATTCTGAACATGCTTGGATATATATATATACCTACCATAAAAAACAAAGGCTTTTATATGTTCTCTGGTATTGCTAAGTTTGTAGAAAGCATCCATAGTGACAAAAACATCACTATGCTTCTTAAAAACTTCCTTGATAGCTACTTTTGACTGGTCAACTTTAACACAGCCAAAACATTTGTCCCATCTTCACCGAACCCCGAACATTAACAGCTACGAAAGGCCAACATAATGCATCAATTGGCGTCTGTTACGTATTGAAAACTAAAACATGATTTCTCATAAAAATTAAAGGGAAACAAAATACACACACAGCAAAGAATACTTCTTTATGGTGAGATTTTCAAATACAATTATCAGAACATACATTGAATGTCACACATGAATGAGATGACAAACAGAAATAGTATAAAACAGTAAAACTGAATAAGTTGCAATGAATAATTGGTTAAAACAGACATATTAGAAATTATGTCATTCATATACCAGTTAAAATATTCACAAAACAGTACCCAAAATAAAATAAGAAATTTACAAAACAAAACCGAAAAGTTGATGAGCGTTAATGTTCAGGACTATGAAAGCAAGTTGAGTATATCGTGTCTTTGTTATTTAATGCTACACAATTCTTTAGATTATAAAAGGATTTGAGTTTAATGATTTGTTGATTGGATTGTTAATAAATTCACTCAAATGTAGTTTTTCTTTTTGGTAAGATTCAAATGTAAATTTTAAGACTGACAGTATCCGAAATGAGAATTTTTGTGATAAGGTTGATATATTAATTTAGACCGTATTTATTTGAGAATGATTTAATTAATTATGTTTTTTAAATGACATATGTCCGTTTTAATTTCTTATTTTTTTAAATTTTAAATTCCAATTCTCTTTTACTTTAATTATACATTTTTTCTGAACTTGTTTTAATATATCTTCTTTTAATCTATGCTTTAAATTTTATCTTACTGTAAGCATGTTCTATAAATTCATTAACACATACTTGAAAATTGGCCACCGTGTTAATTAAAACATTTGGGTGCTTGAATTTTAAACAAGTGGACATACATAAAATACTTAATGATACATACAACACAATTTGAAGCCTAGTATATATTTATTTTTATTTTTGAATACCAAGCAGTCAAATAAATTAATTTGTGTGTATCCTGTGCTGCGTATAATTAACATAAAATGCTGTACAAAAGGTCACATAAAAGATTATCAGAATAAATTCTATATTTTGGTCAAAAGATTATCTTCCACTTAGTAGAACACTCCAATAGAGTTTATGATTTGCTTTTTAGTTTTTTTTTTCTTTTCAGACATTCTAATCGCTTCATCGTTTTGCGATTTGTCCGATTCGGAGTGAGTCCCGAGATTAAGACTTTAAATTCTTCCTAAAAATGATATTAAAGAGGATCAAATACATGCTCTCATCTCCATTGCTCAGTTTCCCGAGGCCTTTTTCCTTTTATAAATATACAATTTATTTTAGGGTTCCCTTTTTGTCATTTGACATGACAAGAGCACTTTCCTACACACACAAATCAAGTGTGGGTCCCACGCTTAAAAAAAAAAAGTCAGACCAAAGTCAGGATACGACGCCGTATCCTTGTTGCAGGAATGAACAGTGCCATTCCTGCAACATGATTCTTATATTTCCCTTTATTTTATGTAGAATGATTGTACATTGATCCAATGGGCACCAAACTGCCCAATATAGCATTATGTACAAGCATTGTTTTTTTTGCTCCCCCGTTCAAATCATCATCCTCATCAAGTCACTAAAGATAGATAACTCATAAAACATTGCATTTCTATGTCAGATTAACTTGGTATGCAGTAGAATTGTTCAATTCAAGATTTGTTATTGTATATATAGAATCTGAGAAGCTACATTACTATAAGCATTTTGTTCTAGTCAACTTTCAAATTTATTAGTAAGAAATACTCAGCGGCACTATTCCCAACTGTCTAAATTTTATTCCATAATTATAAATATAATTTGATGCATGATCATATTTTATGTAATTATTACGTTCTTGATAGTTGATATTTTAATATATATATATATATATATATATATTATACCCACTCTAATTATTTCTTTAAGACGAGTTAGCTTCTCGGGTATCCTCACAAGTTTCAACTCTTTGAGCCGACTATGAAACTAATCTCGAGCCGGGGTTTAATCACAGTTAAAGTTTTGCGCCCCTCTCCAAAGATGTATTTGGTGAGAATTAAATTCAAACTCTCTCCTCACTCTATTTAATTTGTGTTGTCAAGTGAGTTACACCTCGTAGATAAGTTGACATTAATATAAATATACGAGAATTTTTCCTATTTGATGCCGTGCTAAACAAAACTAAAATTTTGAGCTCGCTTTGGTCCGCCTATAACACAAAATTTATAAAAATCTATAAGGTTACACAAAATTTTGTTAGCTTAGGTGTGAAGTTACACGAATAATTTAACAGTTGTAACACCAAGAAGTTCTCATATAAAAGGTAATTAACTCAAAATTTTAAATTCTTAAATTACTAATTTAACATTTGTATGTGTAGTGAACATATATTTACTGATGGTTTAGTATGTGTCCTTTTAATGATTATAATTGTATTTTCAGAAATATATAATTATTATTACTAAAAAAATACAACTTTATGTCTGACACTCCTTTTTTCCATTTACTAATTACAATATTATATTCGACCGAAAAAGTAAATGGTGTTTGTATGGCCAAATACTTTTACTTCCCAATTGTGCCTGTGCAAAATTTTACTAGCCATGGATTATTATCAAATACATTTGATTTGGTAGTTTGATTTTGTTTTAATTTTTTGTTCTTAAAATTATTTTGTACAATAATTAATGAAATATGTGTTTTTTATTTTTGTGTTTTAAAAGTTAAAAATAAAAATACAAATAAAAAATAACTTAGACATATTCTCTAAATTTGATTCTAAAAACTAAATTTTTTTATAATTTTTAGAATTATTTTTATAAAACAGACCTTATCAAATATATTTTTTTTATTTTGAAAATAAAAAACTGTTTTTAAAAACATAATTCAAACAAAGTTAAAGAACACCGATTCTCTTCTTCTTCTTCTGCTTTTTTTTCTTTCTATTATATGATAACGTTAATTTTAGTTAATTTTTAACTCAATTGAATTAAACCTTTTTTAGGAGACCTTGAGGGCTTACTCCCTTGCTTTAGGCTGGTGCATTTAGGATAATTAATTCTCCTAGATATTGACTCGAGATTGGAACCTAGTTATTTCAGGTAGGGCAGACAGCTTTTTTTACCCTAATTATACCGTATTTAGTAATTAGAGAGGTACATCCTTTCACTATTTATTTTTTATTATTAGGCAAGCACATAAAGGTATTATATCTCTTAGATATGCACTAAGCTTATATAGAGGGTATATCATTAAGATTGTTCAAGTAAAGACTTGGTCTTATAGTGTGTTTGGTTTCACAGTTGGAACCTCAAAACTATAATTTGGACAAGAGTTACAAGAAATAAAATTTTGCCCATGATTTGGAGATTTCCAAAGGAGAAAACGCTATCACTTGCTGCAAAGGATAACCCAAAGAAAATAGAAAAAAAATAAAATAAAATCCAGCCCTAAACCCTAAAATAAAATCCTCCAACACATCATCATAAGATTGCTTCATTTTCTAAATTTTTTAATAATATCACTTTGGCTTAAATACCTCTTCGTGATAAATATCTAGACTATCCCAAGGCAACTGCTACAACAAACTTCTCAGGAGGCACATATTAACCAACTAAAATTTAACGGTGAACACATCTCTTAGTTGTTTACTTTAAACAAAAAACTTACTTTAGATAAGCTTTTTTCAAAAAAAGGAATTGGTAAATTAAGGGGCTAAAATAAAAAGGAAGGACTAGTTGCATATTGTTTCTGCTTAATGTTTATATAAAGCTTTTAAGTCAAAAGCTCTCGCGGTAACGTATTGGTTATAAGCTTTCATAAAAACAAAAGAAGGTAATTTAAACACTAACATGAACATGAAGTAAAACTATACGGAACACAAGCTTAATTAAGTCAGATTATTTGAAGTGCAGCAATCCAAGACTCTGATATTTTATCAAACAGAAAACAAATCCGATGTACCACAACAAAGGATCAATCAGCCACTGCATGTTAACAATATCGTACACTTTGTCCACTAAAACATGCCACTTTGAATAGGCATAACTTCGAAAGATTATAAACTCTACTGTTCCAAATAAAGAGATAAAATAGAAATTGCTCTGTAATTTGCTCATTCTACAGATTATAAAATGTGAAAGTGGACCAGTGATCAGAGTTAAAAAGCAAAACCTGACCTGTTCCTCTTTCATGCTGTTAACTGGCAGCAACCTACAATGTTCTAACCACAAAAATTGAGTTTCTTCATTACTTTGGCATAAGCCGCTGGGACAATAGCAGGTTGTCTCAATCTACGTTTTGATTTCTTTGACTGCAATGAATACCATCAGTTCATCAATTTCAAGGACAGTGGACTATCCTGAGATATAATTTACATAATCAAAATAAAAAATGGCTAAATTACGAAGTAGTAATGAAAGAATTGAAGCAAAATTAACTCCCTCCCATTCCTGCCTTCCTCTTGATTGCTAGATACTTGTGTTGGTCTTATAACATTGATTTAAAGATTCAAATTTAATCCCTAGTGTTCAGTTTATACTGTTGATAAAAACTGGCTTTTGGTATCATAGCTTATAGATAAGAACCCACCCTTGAAAGCCTGGCTAATGAGGTAGAGACTCTACCTTAAATGAGAATTTCATATCTCACTCACATTCAGCAGATACGGGCTCAAGCTTGAGCCAAACTAGACATACTTAATTGCACTATTAAGCAATTAATTACAGTTAGAATATTAGGATCCTTATTGTGTTAGAAGCATGGGTAGACCCATATATGGAGTGAATTGTGGACCATATGCCACCACTAAGTTTATAAATTTAGTATTAAGATATGAGTACTATTTGTTGCCCCCACTATGCATCTTGAATTGGTCACGCTGAATTGTTCCCAGAGTGTATTCTGAATTGTCTCCGCAGAGTACTCTGAATTGTCCCCGTTCACATTTATTAGTCAACAAATTGTATGGAAAAAATTAGAAATTCACCATAGGCTTCTCTCATATGCTAGTTAAGAGTAGAAAAAGTAAATCTACTCATTTTTCAACTTCTTTTAAGAAAATAGAAAAGAAAAATACATCTATTAATATAAATAAGTCTAAACCATCCAGTGTCAGATCAACAAATTGTATAAAATTCAAATCAAAAGTGTTTATAGCATTGTTCTTAGGAAATACTACTTTTGTACATAGTATATAGTTCTAAATTATATGAACCACACAAAGAATTTAAAGTGGTTAAAGATATCGATAAAAAGTTTAAATAAATATTAAAAAATATATACAGTACTCTATGGAGATGTTAAAGGCAATTTATATTTACTAGTGTACAAATTACAAATACTCCATTTCACTCTTAAGAACTAACCTCACCAGTTCTTATGTACCTTACAACCTTAAACTTTTAAAGTTTTGTATGAAATTTTTGAATAATAAAGTTGGCTTCTATCTTTTTGCTTTGAAAAGGCACAAATTAGTTTCAAACCACAAATTCATATATAAAAATGTTTTTATTTATCTCTTAATTATTTACACAAATAATATTATATTTAGTGAAGAATTAAATATAAATATTTTAAATGTATGTCTTGCCCAATTAACAAAAAAATTTAGGCCAGCCAATTTCTGTATAATGTTAGGAATGTTATTGGGCTAGGCTTCACATATGCTTGGTTTGCTTAATTTTACAAAAAAACAGCTTTTCCACAAAATGCTCTCTTTGCAGCAATGTGATTATAAAATTTTCTGAACACAACATAAATTAATCCAAACACACACAGTACTAGTTGTACCACAACTAGACTAGTACTTGACCTAAAATATTTGTATAAATACATGTATTAGGTTAGTGTTTTGTATCACATCTCATATCATCATACAATGTTGTTTTCACAACAGAAAGTTACAAGGGAAGTAAATTGCAAAGTATACCAATAACCCACAAACATGCTGGTATTTGATGCCAAGTATCTGTATCATGGGAAAAAGGCTGCATAAGGAAGCTGCAAGAACTCCCTTGTAATGGTCACCTCAAGCTGAGTGCCAACCGCCAACAGCTCCGATGAAATAATAGGAATCGTGCTATACATTGTAAACTACAACATCCATCACAGTACACACCCAAAAAAGGGCTACAAATGCAACGCAATTAAAACCACTCCCCGTTAAACCCGACTAGCGAGTGTGGGGTGGAGGAAATCCTTGTACGCAACCTTACCCTTGCATAATTGCAAAGAGACTGTTTCCTGGATTCGAACCCATGACCTTTCAGTCACGAAGGAACAGTTTTACCACTGCTCTGGTTCGCCCCCTTTTAATACATTATATACAAGCATTCAATAATAATTGGCTCATCAACCAGTCAAATTTCACAACTGTGCATACCAAGGAAACACCAGTTGCTCTATTTTCAGCAAATGAAGAATCCAAATCATAATCTAGCTATTAGTCCTAATAAGTTAGAAACAGAGTATTAAGTGATCCATATCAGAATATTATTGTCTCGACTTTCAAACACGATTTCTCCTTTCTGAAATAAACATACTATTTTTCCTGTTAAGTCTACGACCAATTTACTTAAGGAATTCAGAATGAAGCGTACAAAAATGCTTTAGGAAACTTGCTTACGAAGGACAGCAGCAATTCACAGTGAATATGCTCAAGTTAATAACTTAGTCAAGAAGTACTTAGGTTATTTACTTGCACCTCATGAAATGTTGAGATGGAAATTTTGGGAATGAGTATGATGTGATTTATTTGGCACTGACAGAACAATAGAATTATTGAGGATTCTAAGGAAAAACAAACCAGAAACTCACTTTACAACAAACCATCACATTATCACATATCATAAGATCTTATTCTCTATAAGAAAAAGAAAAAAACTGCGAACCTTCAAATGAGCATTGTGACGTTTTCCCTCCTTCCAGCGCCTGATTTTTCCATCATTCATTGTTCTGAACCTGGACTTGTAAGACCTGCTCCAAATATTGCAAAATCACTCACTCCACAAACACACACACACACAAAAATTAAAAAATTAGAAAATCAACACACACACACACTGAAAGTGTAGTGTATATCAGCAATGAAGATGAAACTCACGAATAAGATTTCATTTTGATTTTCTTAATCTTGGAAGTAACTGGAGTCATTGGCTTTCTTCTCAGCTTCCGTTCCCTTGAAGTTACATTCCGCACTTGAATCAACTATAAACAAAAATTAACATCAAATTAATAATAATAAAAAAAAAAAAAAGAGTTCACTCTTAATTGTATATCTGTTCTGCTTTAATATTTCTATCCCAAAGTTACTACATTTTCTCAGAAATCAAACGCCCCAAAAAAAGGGAAAATGAAATGGAAATGAATGACTTACAGAGGGAGAAAATGGGGAAGGACGAACTGCGTGCAGAGACCACGAAGAGAAATAGAAGGGAGGACGAGAAGAGCGGTTAGTGGAAGCAGAGTGAAGGGGTTGCGGTGGCAAGTGGTGGAGGAATCGGCGAGAAGATGGAGGTGGTAGAGCTTGGCGTGACTGAACGGCGAAAGAACGAAGCTTTATCAACCATCTCTGCATCATTGTTGCCCTCACTGAAACCAGATTTTGGCTATGGCGCTTTGCACTTCCCAGAATCGAAACAAAACGTGCGATTGCCTATTGCTTTTTTTTTTTTTTTTTTTTGCCTTCAATTGGGGGAATTGAGGTTTTCTTTTTTATTTATTTTTAGTATTTCCTGTTTGCTTTTGGTTTGAGGTGAAGATGTGGGCTGTTTGGGCTTTATTGTCTGTTGTTTCTTGTGCACAGATTTTAGATTAAGAGAAGCCCAACACAATGGAGAACCTGGCCCACAACAAATGGTACCGAATCACCCATAGAAGGTTTTTTTTTTTTTTTTTGGAGTTATTTTATCGATTTATCACTTTGCGATTAGTTAGATTTGGAGCGAGATTAAAATTAAAATTTTAAAACCTCTTTCAAAGTGGTGTTGGGAAGAATCGAATACATATTCTCACTCTTACAAGTTCAACTCTCGTACGCCAACTCAAGTAGGTTAAAAAGTTTTCTTATGGGCATTACATATTATTGGTGCATCATGATTTTTTTATTCAATTACCGGACGGCCATACCTCTATTTGGGTGCATTTTACAACACCATTTTCTCCATTGGTTCGTATCATGATTAAATGGTGATATATATATCGGCATGGTTGTTTGTTATTTTAAATGATATAAGTTATATCATTTTAGGAAAGAGATATACATACAAAATGGAAATCATGGGAGAGAGAAAGTGGGTGGATTTTTTTTATTTAAAATTTAAATAAAATAATTTATTCTGTGTCTATCTCTCTCTTAACGTTGAGAGAGAGAAAAGTGTTTGTCCTTTTAAATGACACATCTTTATATTTTTTTGTCCACTCTCTCTCTCCCTTTATCTATCTCTTTCTCTCACTTAAAATGACACAACTTTACATCCTTTAAAATGACACACATTTTTCCCATATATATATATACATATATGAGGTAAGTATTTCTACAGCCACTTTAGATAAGATTATCTACAGCTATCAAAAACTACGTCATTTTAATTAATAAATGGTGTTTCTATAATTTTAAGTGAATTAATGAATAGTATTTTCGTAATTTTGTTTATTTTTTAATCATATATATTTTACTGAAACACCCTTTATTAATTCACTTAAATTACAGAAACACCCTTCATTAATCAAAACGACGTAATTTTTGAGATAGCTGCAAATAACCTTATCTAAAGTGCCTGTAAAATTTTTTTCCACATATATATATATATATATAAAACATAAGTAATATTGTTGGGTTTCTATTGGTACATACACCCAAAATTCATACTCACATATAAAATTGATAAAGCAAGACACTAAGAATCAATTGGTGGCAGAGGATTTCAATTATTTTCTAGGAGTTATAATTTGAAATCTCTTACACTGTCACTCGTTTAAGAAAAAAAAAAAAAACAAATATAAATGTCATTGAATTGCGCATATAATGAGTAGGGATAGTTTTTATGTAGAAATGATGTAAAAGAGAAACAAATATTGACTAAATACTATAACACACTTACAAAGACTAGAACCCAAATCCTCAAACAAAGACAAAACATATGCATGCGTTAACAACAGTCAGTAGTAACCATAATACATCTAATTAAAATCAATCACAAAATGAAACCCTTTTACACTTGGCATGCATTAACATCATTTCGCAAAGAATTATATAAACCCATAGACAATAATGTAGTACGATGATGATTCATTGGTTTATTATTAATGAAGTTTATTCAAACGCGGCTAGATTCTTTTGAATCTAAGACAGGGACAGTTGAGCTTCTCTCATTATTATCCTCTCTGACGTGCCCAGCAGCAACAGCACCACCAAAATCACTGATATTTCCGAAGAGCAGCACAACAATCCCAGCAATGGCAGTGCAAAACGCAGCTCCAAATGAAGATCGAATGCGTCCTGGTGCAACTGAACCCACCGTGAATCCCACGCACAACCCTGCAGATCTCATCCATGCATACCATATAGAGAATGCACCTTCTTTCCCAGATGGAGCACAATCCAACACCAACACCCTTCCAAAAGCATGCAAAATCCCCGTTGCTGTGCTCTGAATACAACCAAGCACCACTAAGTGACCCCATTTCCAGTGACTGTGTCCATAGTAGAACCCAAAACCAGATGTTAAAAGTGATAACAGAAACCCAACAATTTGCATTTTCACAGAGTTCATCTTAATCAGGTTTAGCATGGGTTGTAGTAGTGACAGAGAAACAAGAGGGAAAAGGAAATATGTTAACCAGAAATAAAGCAAGTCCACTGGCTTAATGCAAAGCTGGCCAACTATGAAAATCACTCCCCCTGTGAAAATAGACATTGTGGTGAATGAAGAAAGGAAAACCCCAGCAAGGCCTCCAATTGCATGAGGGTATTTGAAGATAGAAAAAGGGTGGAGCCTTGAAGAAAATGAGATGGAATCAGTGGTTCTGTTTGAAGCTGTAACAAGATGCAATACCCCCACAAGCCATATTAAGCCACTGAAGATTGAGACAACCCATAGGCTCATAATATCACGTTCATTATCATTGAGTTCACGAAGCATATGGTAAGTGAAGGCTGAAATTAATGCTGCACCTAAGCAACCACCAGCTGTGGCATGAAGGGAGAGCCTGCTGGAGAACCCTTGCCTTAAGGAAAATTCGCTTCTCTTGAGGGTTGGTCCAGTGAAGCCACGTATCATAAGACCAAGATGTTGGGTGTGTGCAGCACTTGCAACTGTGATAGCTGCAACAATGCCAGCAATGTAGGGAATGAAGATGCCTGTGACTTTGAAGAACCCTGCAGGGAGGCAGAACAATACTCCAACTCCTGTAGCTGCTGCTGTGATGAGTTTTGGAAAGTTGCCATCAAGGTGGAAGGAAATGAAACCAAGAATTGGAGCAGCCAAGGCTAGACCTGTAGCCCAAGCAATTGATGTCCATTCCAGAGAGGAGAACCTTGAACCACTGGTTCTTATGGTGTGATTGGTGAGTTTCATGTACCTGCAATTGACCACATCGGACAATGTGTTAACTTCTTCGGATATTATGTTTAACTAGTGGTAATTTGTCCAGTTACTGCCTTAATTTTGGCACAAAATATCATGCACATGAGGTACCATTAATGGGAATGCTGCTACGATTTTAATTAGAACTTTGGGAACAAGCATATTGCACATGGAAAGGACTGTTCAGTTCCTGTAGTTTCAGAGTGAGCAATGTATATTTCTAAGGTAGTATTTGCTAAGATTTGTATTGTACGCGAAGGGAAAAATCAGTTAAATCTTAGTGGAAGCACTTGATTGTATTATATTATGTTATATATTATAGAAAAAGTTTCATGTTGTCTCGGCAATATCATTACCAAAATGAGCTAACTACCGACAATGACTTAATTTAAATATCTTACAAAAAAGGTGGATAAATGCTAAGAAAAGGCAAGTTATTCACATTAACGCATGGTTAAAGTAGATACTTCTTATATAAAAACTCAAGCTTTGGCTAAAAAATCAATATGAGGAAATGACTAGTGTAACTAAATACTAATTTTATAAAAAATGCAAAATAAAATATAGTATATACTTAAGTGGAGTTAGGCGTAATTTTACCGTTGTGGATATAATATATAAGATAAAAGTTCAAAAGGTGAGTGATGACTTTTGGGTGAGTCCGACAAACATTTTTATACTCCCAAGGAGGAAAGCATAGATATTCTCTCTCCTCTAGTTTTGGCCAAGAATACGAGATCATAGCTTGTTTTTTTCTTGTACATCAAAGGTCGACACGGAAGCATAGTTAATAAATGGGGTTGATGTCCGGTGGATAATGAAGCGCTTTGAAAAAGGAATCTTAACCCTTGAGTAAAGAGTAAAGCAGGATTGTAAGAAAGCCACAAAGGACACGGCTTTTCATGATTGCGAACGATAGTGGAACCAAACGGCCCAAAAATTAAAAATTAAAAAACTATAATGGAACCCTATGTGTGTTTGTCAAGCTCCCTAGATTTTTAAAAACAAAAAAACCTTTTCTACTAAACTCATACCCATCTCTACATAAACTAGTTTGAAACTCGTACAACTACAACCTTATTTTAAAAAAAAAAAATTTGAAACACCCAAAATACATAAACTAGTTTAGATCAAGACTGCAGAAGAAAAAAACAGTAAAGATTTTATTTTTATTTTTTAATGACAGTTAGTGCTATTATTACTAGTGAAAATTTAAAACAAAAGACCTTAATTTTCCAAATTAGTAGTAAAAAAAAAAAAACACAAAATGTATACTCACATATGAATTTCCTTTTGTGAGCAGTGTGTGGCTGGGTGGTTCTTGGCCCAGTTCTGAACTGAGTCTGTAGGAAGTTCCTGTAGCTGGCTGATTATGAGAGGGAACACAACAGGGATAAGAACTGTTTGAACAAAGTAGGAGCAGAACTCGTACAGGTACCACCCCATAACTTCAAATCTTGAGGGTTTTTCTCCTACTTCTTCATAACCATTGTAAGGCTCTCTGGCTCTCAAAATTTTCATGGCCCTGTTATGTAAGTCTGGCCTAGCCATGCTGCCTTTTCCACTCTCGGTTGCACCACCTTGTGCTCCTCCTCCCCCTTGGCCACCTTCGGCTTCAATGGTAACCTCTTTCATTAGGTCTTGTGCTTTGGTGAGACAGAAAACTGAAGGCAGATGTGTCAGAAAGAGTAATGGCGAGAGAAGGAGGAAAAGGAGGTAGATAAGTTTAACAAAGTTGACAGTAGTGAGTGAGTGAGTGAGTGTGTATGTTTGGCGTGCAACTGTGCACAGCTGGGTTAATGACACTTTCTAGGGTGCCAAAGGGCCTTGTTAAGGGAAAGTATATATTGGTATACTCTTCACTTTACTTTATTTTTTCTTTTGTCTCTTGGGAATCATATAATATACCCACAGTTATGACTTTGCAAAACAAAGTAAATTTCAGCTAGTATTATTTTTTGTATCTATATAGATTTGCCGTATAAATTTCATTTAAGTAGGACCCTTGCTTTTAGTGTAGTAATAGTCTAACTATTCAATGTTGATGAGATAAAATTATTTATTATATATATAAAGGGTTTGTTTTTCTGCAGTTATTAAAAATAAGTTATCTGTTGTAAGTTCAATACGACGTCGTTTTGGACGGAAATCATGATGTTTTTATAATTTTAATTTATTTTAAGATTATTATAGTCTTTATGATTAATTTTTTTAATATTTTAATTCTAAAACGACGTTATTTTGAAAATAAATACAGATAACTTATTTGCAGTAACTGCAGAAATATTTTTCTCATATATAAAAATGCATAGAGTTTATATAAGATGATTTGAAGTGAAAAGATAAATATAAAAATATCAATTTTAGAATAAATATTTTTTTTAGTCTTCAGGAAAAAAATATGAAACCCATTTTAATTTCTTAAAAAAAAAGTATTCATATTAGCTATTTTTAAAAGATTAAAAATGATCTTATTTGAATTTCAGAAGAATCATAATTAAAAAAAATTAAAATTTTAAGGTCATCACAAATTTTTTTTTTTTAGAGATTAAATCGGGCTCCTTTATGGGAACAAAAAATTGTATTTACTCTTAATTTTATATATTATATGTGGGTAGTGAAAAATATCATACACTTAAAATTAAGGACATTATGTTTTTATTGTATTATGTTGATTTAAAATCTGTTATATTTACTGTCAATTGTTATATTTTTATACTAATTAATGTCGCCCTTAAATAGATGGATTATTTGGAAGACTGGATGCTCAAGCGGCAACCACAGGTTTGTTCGTTAAAAATAAAAAATAATTGTTGTAATTTGTCTGCCAGATTTTGTCATCTTGTGCAAAGTTGCAGTACAAGTATTGAGAATTGAGATACTGGTCAGTTACATATTGATTGCTTTCAGCCAATTCTAATTTCTAACAAGGTCAGTAATAAACTAATAATAATAATAATAATAATCAATAAAAGTTAAAAACCACCGTACCTAGATACATGTTGCTTGTTCCGTATATATTATTGGATAAATTAAACTGACTTGCAAGCTTTAGAAATAGACACACGCATGCACATTTGGGGGCACATTACCTGTTTCTTAGGAAATGATGAAATTAATTACCCAACACAGGATTGTATTGTTTTGACTATTGTAACCTTATGAAACTCGATTTTGTTATAAGGAAAATTAATGGGAAGACTCTGAAAAGAAATATTTAATATTAAGGGATATAAAAAATTTAAATTTTTAAGAAGGATAACAAAAAAATTATTTATTTTATTTAATAGAGAAATCAATTTTTGAATTGTTTTTACTTTTTGATAAGTAAATACATGTTTTCATTGATTGGTTAATAGTTATAAATGAAATTATATGTTTCATACGTGAAATGAAAAAGAAAATTGTAAATTAATGACTATTCTTTTTTGTTGCACAATCATTTGTTCTTATCGAGTGATTAACAATTATATTATTATCACTAAATGAATAATAGTCATAAATAATATGTTTTATTTATAAAAAATGTAAAAATTATGAATGTAGATCTATTGCTTTTTCTATAATTGTTATTCGTTCTTAAGTGATCTAAATGACTTATAATTGCAAAAGAAATACTATAGTGCATATAAGTAAATATAAGTTCAATTTATTAATGGTCATCCCTTATCACTGAACGGTGATTCATTTGAATTGGGTAATTAATAATAATAAATAACTATTTTTTTAAAGATTTGTGGCCTTTTTTGATAATCTAAAATATTTTTATTTCTTAAAATTAAATATTACTCATAAACAACAATGCTTAGTAAACTGTCTGCATTGTGAATGTCGCAACATCATAGTAGATAGCTGGAGCAAACACCACATATCTTATTGTAAATTTATTAGTATTGGTACATTTGTTTAAATTTAAAGAAAAAACGCTTCTACCATATTTTTTTAAAAACTATTTTGAAAAATAGTTACGGAAACAGTTGTTTTCTATATTTTTTTCTTTTTGAAAGTTAAAAATCAAAACAGAAAACAAAAACAACTCAGGCGTGTTCTCTAAATTTGATTCTAAAAACAAAAAATCAGTTATAGTTTTCAAAATATTTTTTATAAAACATGTGCTACCAAATGAGTTTTTTAGTTCTGAAAACTAAAAAACTGTTTTAAAAAATAATATTTTAGCTTCTGACAAGTAACAAGACATTAAGAGCGTATTTGTTTAAAATTGCAAAAATATTTTATGTTATTTTTAGATTTTTTTTAAACTTTTGAGAAAATATTAAAGCTACTTTTTTTTGTTTTCATTTTTATGAAAAATTTATCAAATTATTATATGGCTTAAAGTGTTTGTCATTCTAAATGACACAACTTTGTGTCATTTTTAATGAAACTACATTGTTTGGTTACAAAAAAAAAAAAAAAACTACATCATTTTGTTGTGTTTTTGTATTTTTTTACAATTTTTTTATTGAATTAGAAAAAAAAGAAAGTGGGTTAAAGAGAATGCAAAAATACACCAAAACGACATAATCTCATTAAAAATAATACAAAATTGTATCGTTTAAAATGACAAATATTTTTTTACTTATTTTATAAACTTCTAAACATATCTTTTAATCGAAAAACACTTTTTTCAAAGAAACTTAAATAAACTGATCTAAAACTGTTTTTTATTTAGGTTTTTAATTTAATTTTTTTAATTATTATAATATATTTTAAGGGAAAATTTATATTTATTCTTTTTTTTCTTACTACCAAATTTAATCGTTGAAAATTTGTTGTGAAAGGTTATAATTACTACCTTTTTTAATTAATTATTTTTAAATAAATCAAACAAACGAATTATTTTTTTAAAATTACGACTTAATAGCGATTCATTTTATTCATACGTGGTTTGTGGTTATGTTCTGATTTAATTCTGGGCTTATTTCGGAACTTATTTTTTCTATTCATTTTATTTCAGATATTTATTAATTA